TTGAAGCGTACTTTAGCAGCTAAAATAACCTATTTTTTTGGAGATTGATATTGATAATCTATATAATTACAACAATTGATAATCTGTTGATGACACTCTAACTTTCAGAATTGACTTACTGTGCGATGAATTGTCGATTGGCAGAAAGCCATATCTACGGTAAATCATCTCGCCCCTCATTAACGCAATTCAGGAACAAAATTCGTTACAGTCACGCGCAAAACAAACCCATGCAAAACAGTGGCCACAAGCAAATCATATACACGTAAAAACGCCGAACGCAAACAGCCTCACGCAAAACAACTTCTGTATGCACGCACAACTGCCACATACGAAACAGCCACGTGAAAAACAGTCACATTTAACAGCCACATACGAAACAGCCACGTGCAAAACAGTCACATTTAACAGCCACATACAAAACAGCCACGTGCAAAACAGTCACATTTAACAGCCATATACAAAACAGCCACGTGCAAAACAGTCACTTTTAACAGCCGCATACGAAACAGCCACGTGCAAAACAGTCGCATTTAACAGCCACACAAAAAACAATGAAGAATGAAATAAAGAATGATTAGAGCAGAAGCGATGTAAGCAGCACAACTAAAGCATTCAGCGAAGATGGTCCAGGCAGGAGCACGGCCGCTAGAGGGCCGTCCACTCCACTTAATTGCTGCTTTCTTGAGGAAAAAGATACTGACGACCCTCGCTACCGCCGCTCTGCTGTTGCTTCATGCTTTGCTCGGCGCTCTCAATTGTTATGGTTTGTGTAGATCCTCAAGCGAGCGCCGTTCTCCCTATGACACTGAATGTAATTTCAAGTCAGGTTTATCCTAAGTCTTCAACCTCATTGGTTTTCGAGACTGCAATAGTATAGATGATCGGATAATGTTACGAGCGATCCTGGATAATTAAAGTGGCTATGTTATCGGAGGTGCACATGCGGTTTTCTAAAACTCATCTAGTGATTTCCAGTTGACATTTCTAAAAAAAAGTAATGTAAACATCGAAACTTAGCACATAAAAAATTATGTCAAAGATTTCATCTGTTGACACTTCTGGGTTTTTGTCAAAAGAATTGAGTTGTAAGTACATATACAAAAGATAACTAAATGTAGGGACTACTCTCCGTAGACTTTCAATATTGACAACAATATGGGAATTAAATTCATATAAAATGACATGATCAGCAGGAAACTATTACCATGCCACGAAATATGAAATTTTTATTCAATTTAAATTCATGCTTTATTATCCCTTTGGATTTCCCTTTACATTACATTAATTGAGCAAGTACAAATTAAAATTTGTTAAAATTTGCGTACATGCTTCTCGAAAACATGGAATTAAATAGCTTATAGAACTTAAAAATTTTGAAGCAATCGAAAATTTGAGCAAGCAACTGAGGTTGTCATTTGAGCGAACGAACTCGTGGGGCAAAATGAACCATAGGGGCTGGTCGGAGCGCCGTTACGCGTAAGTGGGAAGCTTGTGAGAAATTGGAGTCGCGGGAGCAAATTCTTCGGCTTAGTTCTTCGCTTTTCATCGTGGACGGGAAAACTTTGTGGGGTAACTTTTATTTTGAAGATGACAACTGGTAAACCTTGACAGTTTGGCGATAACTTAGATGTATTAGGTTAGGAAATAATTTCTTAAGCCTGGAACAAATAACAATCTGGAATTTCCGCACCTACACGAAGTACCTGGTCTTTTCACGGAAATATTTTTTAACTAAATACAATGTGATGAAAAGCTAACTAAAAGCAATGACGGTGTGATAAATTTTGCCCCATGCGTGTGTAAAGTGAGTAGAATTTTATGGAGTGTTAATATTATCAGATTAACGTACATGAAGTAGTATGAAAAAAGTAGGTTGAAAATTTTACATTCTTTATTAGAAAAGATACACTACTTTAATATATTTCAATGACTAAGAAGTGTAACTGAAATTTTGATGATATAATGAAATGATTAATTAAACTGTCAATGAATGAATGAATGATTAAAGTAATTTAAAAATGATTAATGAGAAATGAAATTTTCGATTTTCAATGCTTAATTAACGAAATTGTATTCATTGCGCTCTAATTATTCGACATTTATACTCAAATTCATGAATATTGAAGATATTCTTGCAATAGTTTTCAGAATTAGTTGTTCGGCTTGACCGTTCTTCGGTGTTAAATGTTAGGAAGGCAGCAAGCCGGTGATGCCAGTGGGAAAATATTCTAAGTGTGTCGGCAGATAAATATTGTTGAAACATATAGCCGCAGCTCTGACCTCTGACACACTGACATACTGGTGAGCTGGTCGAACCTGTTCAGTTTACAGCTGCGACTCGAGAGTAGGAAAATTAGAAATATATAAATAGAACGCTTTGTTTTTCAATTAATTTAATTTATTTGGTTTTTCACTTCGTAGAAACAAAAAATATTTCAGTGAACTCAAATTTTCAAATATTTTTAAATTTTAATCTATCTCGAACAATGAGCTAACTCAATTATTTAAAAGAAAGTAAATGTTACAATTGCATTATAAATAAGGCTTTGGATTTTTAATTAAAATATAATGACCAGATACGATGAATCGTAACCAAGAGTTAGAAGAAATATTCAGTTTAATAATTTACAATTTACGCTAAATTGAAGCTGTTAAATTCAATTCCGTTAACACATCCATGACCATCATAGGATTAATTGGACGACGTTACCTTGACTTGGACGAAACACAAAAGTCAATTATTATAATCATATTATCTAATTATTTATTAGCATAATATGATTATTAATATTAATAAAATTAACGGAAAATTGAGCGAAACATCATTTGTTCAAACGGTAGTTTCCGTGGAGCTTACCAAACACATCATGATGCGTGCGATGGCTCTCCTGCTCCTCTGTCACCTGGCCCATAGGCTTGCCTACAGAATTATCAAACAATATTTTATTTTGAGCACCTATGAATATACTGAAAACTTTTTTGAAAATTTAATCAATCTTTCACATTGTGTAGCAAAAATGTGTATTGCTTAGCTTCCAGAAATAGTGATTTTGAAAACAACAAAAAATTAAGTATACCCGCGTATTCATTGACTAGCGTATCATTAATACAGCGGCTTACCCAAGTAAAATTAACTTGCTTATGAAAATTAATCCATACATTTTTCCATCAGAAAGTGAGCTGCTCCGCGCATCAACACTTATAGTACAGGGCCTATACTTTCAAAAAAAGTTAAGAGATCGTAAGTTATCAGCCAATCATTGACGGTCTTTCAAGCAAAATCCACCAATCGTAGACAAGAAAATATAGCGTAAGTACTTACGTTCACTTAGCGAATTTTGAAAGTATAGGCCCAGAATACCACCCACAGTTATTCAGAGACTGTTCTCTTCGAAAATCAAAATGACTGTAGCGAATTAGAAACTTTGAACACGTGAATCATTATCCTCGCAGCGTCGCAACACTAACCATCGTAAAAGTGTGAGATTTCAAGCATACAGACAAATGAGGTGTACAGGTGTGTATTGCCTCTGGTCAATTAGAGACAAGTTACGACACCACAGAGTCGTAAAGACCCAAGTTACGACCAGTAAACAAAGCCCGCATTTAAACGCAAACCACAGCTGTTCCATACATGCATCACTCAGCCAAATGCATGGGTCACATTGTCTAAATAGTGACAGACTTCCTTACCCAAAGAGAGCGGACGTAGCACTGAGAAGTCTTTTTTTCTGGGCTAATCTGGGTCAGGATAACACACGAGAATAAAAAGTGCATCGAAATTAGAACAATCATTTCTGTCACTCATTTCTTTGAGTGAACGATTTTTCTTCAACGTTTTTTCAATCTGTCCACACAACGACGGTCAAAAGTACGACGGCGTCGTACTTTTCTACATCTACATTTCTAGGTAGATTAACTACTTTATGTTGGTAGATCATGTACGGCTCGTGGGGAGATTAACTTAACGCACGCGAGGATAAGGTTAAGCTTATTTCAAGTTTAACTTTTGTTAATGGTTTAATTGTTTTACACTGACTATTTTTCAATTATCAATAATGATTTTGAAATTTTAGAAAACTTTTCCCCTTTTATAACTTTGGATTGAAATTATTCCGAATGTTAAGAAAAAGTTGAGAGATGAAGCAAATCAATATGATTTATAGATATACGATCAGCATATTTCTATCAATACTGCACTGTGCCAAGAGCCGCTTGAACCCTAGGTAAATGAGTGTGCCATTGTCTAAATATCTATACATTTTTTACCTAATATTCATCATTCTAAACCAGTTTGGCCACGCAAAATATCACTGCAATTTGAAGAAATTATCACAATCTGTACAGATAGTACCGTTTATTTCTTACAGTGCACATGTCACAGTAACGCCTAGTCTATGACTCCGCTGCTACGACGGTTCTATCTGTTCAGTTTATTAGATGCAAATGCGTCCGATGTTCTGGGACTAATGAAGCTCAGACCTTCAACCCAGACCTTCCTAAATCCAGTTAGTGACGTCACGAGTTGGTCTGCGTGGTCCCGATTCATCACACGTAGACGTGACCTTTTTTTGGCTATTTTTTTGCTTTTAAATTCCTGGTGAATCTGCGATTTACACAGTCGAGTGATCTTAATACCTCAGACCTCACTTGCTGCAGGTCTCCGGGGTTTAAAAGTTTGGAACCAAAGACACATATCACGATTTATTGAACAATGAAGAACTTAGATTGAATTGCTTTGCGGATTGGAAGAATAGTTCACGATAAAAAATCTGGAAAATTGGCACATGAATTTTCGTTGCTGGTATTAGCTTCCGTTATATTAAACGTATTAATTGAAACAATCAAAAAAATTGGCATGCAAATTACGAACTTCTATTGCGAAATTCGAGTTAAAGAAAAAACTCATCCTTGAAAATAACACAAGAGAGTGACCAAGATATGTACTTTTCGTTTATTTAAAATGGAAACCCTTAAGGGATATAAAAGAATGTCGATATTATTAAAGATAATGGATTATATTGAAGGAAAAATGTTAGCGTTGCTTAATTAAACAACCTATAAAATTAGGTGAAGGCAAAGAGTCGTGTAGGGAGGCACACTGTCGCTTTTTTACGATATACCTGGACAATTTGACCAACAGTTTTCTTGTGCTGTTCAGTATAACAGTGTCAGGGAGCTGTGAATACAGCGTGAAGTGTTCAGTATAACAGTGTCAGGGAGCTGTGAAATTCTCACGAACGCAGTCATATTTATTGACAACTTCTTACACGTAAACAGGAAATTCTGTAAAACTTTTCATTTAAATTACAAGTATCAGCATACAGCAGCAGTAACTAGATGAATTAAAATTAGTGCAGTTACGAAAATATAGTACCTAATTACAATAGAATCTTGATTATGAGTGTGTAGCGTGTTAATACAAGTTCATTTCAAAACATGTTCTGAGGGATAAAACAACTTGCTTTGTTAAAGTTCGGTTTTCGCATTTTCATTAAAGAAAAATAAGGTTAACATTTTCCCGCTCAAGTCGAAAATTGAAACAACGTGATTTACACCAGAGTTTCCAAACATATTGAGAGCTGAACACTCGACTCATCGGTTGAATTAATTCATCAAACAATGTAGCTCAGTGTTGTCTATTTATAGATAAATCAAAAGTCAACAACACTTGGTAATGAAATGAAGCAGCAGTTATCAAATTCTATTCAACCAAGTCCATATTATAAATTAAACCTAAACCAACCATAAAAAATGTATCAACAATTGCAATCAGCATGGATGATAATCCTATCAGTATCAGTATTGAATATAATAAAGACCCACATAGTCTATTACGTGTTAAATTATAATTATTGATGCAACAACATACTTAACTCGCCTAAATTAGGAATTAGATAGGGTGAAATAAATATAACAGACAAGCACGTAAAGAACTCCAATATCAAGCTTACGAGTAAGAGTGTAAACTATGAAAGACTCGGCGGGATAAAGTTTCTAGTTTTTAGAGGAGTTCGGTAATATTTAAACACGATTTGACTGAACATTAACTTATATGAGTAGCCAAGCACGGTGTGTAACTAGGCATTAAGTTCAGACTCTGGTTTCACTAAAACATCAACCAAAACTTGGATGAATCACTAACGGCAGCGGATTGATTATCCGTGTTTCCTCTCTAGGTAAGTAACTTTTAAATGGTATCAAATATTATCGAAGTATGAATAGATCTCGGTTAAATAATTTACTTTATTATCTGAACAATGAATGAAAATAAACACCATAGGAATAATTTTGGAATTCGGTGTGGTGCAGCAGTACGTTTGCTGTCAGAAAATGTAAATATAATAAGTTGGAGACATCTTTTCCTTCACCACCAAAAGGATTAGCCACTTCTAAATCGTTTGTACCTAATTTAATTTGATTGTAGAAACAAGCTTGTCAGCAGACGCCGTGATAAAAATACAATACACAAAAATATATTGTTAGATGACCATAAATCCTGTTTTTCAGTGAGATTTCAGTTTACTCAGACAATTACTACGACGTTCCCGCAGATTCCACCCATCAAGCAGCCCCAAGGCTTTCGAAAACGGATTTTTACCTTAAAAAAATACCGTTAATGCCTCGTACACGACCCATTAAAGGAAGGTAGCATTAAGAGAAGGTCACGTCTTAATGGTCTAGCACCATTAAGAGAAGGTCACGTCTTAATGGTCCAAGACGATATTTTAGACAAGGCAGCCCTTAATGGTAAGCGCCATTAAGAGAAAGTCGCGTCTTGAGTGAAGAGTCCGGCGACCCTGAAGTCCCCCTTGAGGAAGGTGGCGTAGAGTCTGTGGGGCATGAGTCTGGAAGTCCTGCTTGGCAGCTCAGCGCGCACGCGGACGATGTATTCCCGCGCGCCCGGATAGCCGAGCCGCGACCGCGTCTGTTCCGCCAGACTGCGACGCGCGGACGGCGCTGTAGCGGCGCGCTGCTCCATGGAGTAGCGAGGGAGGCTGCCCTGTCGCTCCTGCTCCTGCAGACACACATAGAAATTTGTGTCAAAAAGTCTCAGATAATTGTTTTTGGTGCTAATAGAATTGGGGTTTGAGTATAAGGAACGTTCATACAGGGGGTTTGTGCGTTGGATGTGTGCATTAAGAACCTGTATATGATTGGCTGGTGAGAAAGTACGTGTGAACACAGAGCTTGGACATGGAGGTTTTTGGGTAGGAATGTGTGAATAGGGAACTGGTACAGAGGAGGTTGGTGCGAAGGAATGTCGGCACATGGAATCTTGTGCAAACGGTGTTTTGGTGCAATCGAAGTTAAAGGCAAATAGAGCTTATGCAATAGTATCAAGTCTTGTTCTTATGGAGTTCAAAACCAACGGATGTAACTAAAAATGTGATAAATGACAAATAAATGAAACTGTCACAAAAGAGTTTAGTAAATCTTCCACTTATTCTCACTTCAATGGAGCGTTCGAAGAGACGCAGCAGAGCCTGTCCCGCGACGCCCTTAGCAGCTCCTTCGACGTCGACCTCACCAGAGCTGAGCAAGGAGCTGATCAGCGACAACAGAACCGCTGAGTCATCTTTGCCGTCTTTCGGCGCGTCTTTGCCGTCTTTATCGTCTTGGGTATCATCAGACCCTTGCAGTACAGTAAATTGCGAACCCAAGTTACTTTCGACGCCTTCCATGGCATCGTCGCTGTCTTCTAGACCAACTTTGAATTTTTCTTCACCGTGGCTTGAGTGTTTACTGGCATTTCCAGCACGGGATGGTCGTCGAGTTTGTTCAGACGACGCTTGCCGTGAAGCGGGAACATCGGACGTTCCTTGTGATATTTCATCCGACGATGTTTTAGACTTACGGTGCTCTTCGTCCGATGGTCGTCTAGCCTCTGTCATAGAAGATCCATCAACCTCTGATGTGCGTTTGTTATCGAGAGTTTTCTGTTTGGGTTCAACATTGCGTGCTTCTTGAGGTAATAACTTGTGTCGTAAGCTCATGGCGCGGCCAAGACATCGCTCTACAGCACTCAGCTGTTCGATCACGTCGCGGTACCTGGCAGATGGTTTAACGCGTTGAAAAATTGCTGAAAAGTTATTCACATGAAACTTTAAAGACATCAAGTAACTTTTCGGGCAATAATCAGAAAAATAAATCAAATATTGCCTACACAAAATCTTGCACATAAAATTCACTGCGTCAGAAATGAATGCGAAGGACAAAAAAAGTTCGTTGAAACACAATAGAAATTGGGACCTAATACCAAATATTTTAAATTGGAATAGCAACGATGATGATAGTATACCAGATTCTAAATCAAGACGACCATAGACGATGATTTACCTACACAAACTTTAGAAGAAAACTAGAATGTTTAGACACATCGAATCCCACTGACTTTGATCGCTGATTTCCCTGCAAAACTTTAGGTGGCTTTTCAATGCACATGCCTGCTAGCGCGTTACCAAGAACATAACAAATACGATGGAAGAACTGCAATACAGGCAAGTCTGTAGACTACGATACAGACTGAAATACAGAGTACCATACAGACAACAATACAGAGTACCATACAGACTACAACACAGACAGTACAGACTTGTTGAGGTCACAAGGCTGGCGCGACAGCCTGCCGAGGCGCTGCGTGAGGAGGCACAGGAGGGCGGGGAGGCTCTCGCTGTGCTGCAGCGGCGGCAGCGCCTCTAGGCTCTGGTAGGCGCTCGTCTGGCCCCACACCGCGGTGCTGTTAATAAATTAATGTATCATTATACAAAGTAATGAATAAGAAAGAAATAATAAATGCATAAAAAATAAACAGTAGGTAAACAAATAAAGAAGAGATAAAAATAAATAATAAAATATAATTCGGCTTCCAAAAAAAAAAATTCAAGGCTTTCAAATAAGATTCATCACAGTAATTTGCTTCTGTTGACTAAATCATTGGCCAAAGGTGTCGATACATATAGTAATATTACATTTACATAACATTTATTTTCCCAACATTCATTTGGGATATTCGAAACGATTTTCAGACAATTCACACGGAACAGTTGCATGCTCAATACATAATTTATGCAGTAATATTATTGGAAAGCGCGAAAGAAATTTAGTCGCTGCAACTCGATAGTTGGATTGAAACTTAATATCGAGTGAAAATTTAAAATAGAAGAAAACGAGAAGTGAATTCACCATAACTTGATCTAAAACGAGGTAACTCTACTGAAATTTTTTAGCGTTTCCTTTGCTATTAGATTCAAGGTGAAATTGCGCTGTAAGCAGACTATTGATGTAACTATTTAAGTCGTTTTGCATATCAGTACTTGTGTGTAAATGACTATTGATATAACTATTTACGTCGGTTTCTACATAAGCACTTGTATGTAAAAGACCATTGATATAATATTCAAGTCATTTTGTACATATGTACTTGTTAGCAAATAACTCTTGATATAGCAACTATTTATGACGGTTTGTACATATGTACTTGTTAGTAAATAACTCTTGATATCGTATCTGTTTACGTCGTTTTGTACTCGTAAGTAAAATAACCTGGGCAGAGTGTAGAGATGAGGCTCCAGAGCAGTCCTGCAGCAGGCGGCGTGCAGCAGCACCGGCAGCAGGTGGCGGCAGAGAGCTCCTGGTCCCAGAGACGCGAGCCACTGCAGAGCGCTCTCTGCCTCTCTCGCGTCGTCGAACAGACGCTTCTGCCGACGTGCTGGCACTGGCAGAGAGCCTTTCCATACCTGCACCAACAATATTTCAATTAGAATAGATTTATTTATTATTATAAATATAAAATAGGTATTTAAAATTTATTTACTATTATATATTTATAAAAGATAATTATACATTTATATACTTATTGTTGTCGAACGAGAGCAGCATTAATAATAGATATTTAAATATTTATTCATTATTATACATTTATAAATTTATTTAGATTTATATAGAATAGATATTTTAATATTTTATAGATAAAAATGTCTCAATTTAAATGATTTTAAAGACCTAAAACATGTGTACTGACTTGGGTAAACGTTGAGATGAGTGTCTGGAAAATTTTTCAATAGATACGCTTATGAGATTTAATAAACAAAAATTAAATTTAATCTTGATCACATAACGCAGCCGCACATCAATGGAAATTTTATTATTCTACATGCCCATGCAGGAACACGTCCTGATTTCATCATCGGCAGGATGCAACTAAAATGAATTGCGTAGTACAACAAACTTTTGAAGGAAATTCAGTGTGCTTGTAAATACCTACTTAGTCGGATATGAGTTGAAGCTTAATACTGTACTACGTTGAATATTTATGTGAAGACTTATTTTATGTTTATTTATATTTTCTTTTATTATATTTCTATATTGTTTTAGCTTGTAAGTGACGTACCTCCTGCCATAGGTTCCCAGGGATAGTCATGCGGTCGCTCAGCCGATGGCCGTCCACCACCTCGACTCCTGAGAAGAAAAAACACGTGTAACTCATTCAGGAACAATATATAAAAATTTATCAATTACTTCTAAGCCACCGTTCAAGAATTAAAAATCAGAATTGAGATAATGTGAAAATTTTCACCACTTTTAGCCCAACATTTTTGCTCTCTCTGACCAAAGTCATACGTTGAATCTCTAAATTAACACTTGACCTACATATTACGGTCTTCACGCACTGCATTTCACGAATAAATGATCGGTAAGAAGTCTAATTGATTCGATCTCGCTCTTCCTTTTACGATCAAGGTGCTCTGAATGTCAGATTACCGATGGAAAACTTAAACTTACAGACGTGTTCTCATGTATGGGCTGAAATTCAATTAATAAATCTAAGTTACCCATTCACAGGTAGACAAATGAATTGCTTGAAACAGTGAATTAACAATTTTCTCGACAAAACTAGATATTTTCTGGCGGGGGATTGCCTGGTGGGGCATTGGCCGTGGGCAGGATATTGTCTCACCCACGAGGTCTTCCCCCGGCGCGACAGGCACCCAGTCTCTGGGGGAGTACCAGCGCACGAAGTCCGCCAGCACACACCCGGGGTTGGCAGCCTGTACATACAAATGATAAATACGAATGATGAATACAAATGATGAATACGAATGATGAATACGAATGATGAATATGAATGATGAATACGAATGATGAATACGAATGATGAATACGAATGATAAATACGAATTATACGAATGGGCCGAAAGCCAAGTCATCATGAGCCGTCATTGGATAAGATTGTCATTAGCCAAATCGCTAGCAGAATTTGGCTGAAAGCAAATCCGTTACAAGCCAATTCACCAAAAATGATTTCACCATAAGACAAAACGTCAAAAAAAAAAAAAAAATTCGTACACACCGCGTGTGTCAAGATCAACAAAAAAATTGACGGACATTTTTCAAAGCTAATTCAATTATTTAAGAAGAAATATTAAATAGAAAAAAAAAATAGTTCGGGATATAAATACCAAGCGCCAATAAGATTCCTATTTTTAAAATAAGCACCGAAAAATACAAACCATTTAACATCTGGCACTAAAAATCTAAATTTTGATGCCGACCTTGAAGCTCTCCATGTCGGAGAGCAGCGATGACGACATGAGACGAGCGCGCATCGCCGAGCCTTCGTCAGTGTCGCCAAGACGAAGCAGCAGCTGAACAAATGTTACAATGTGAATTGAAGTGAGCTAAACTGAACGCTGGAATAAGTTCAGAAATTAGTTCAACTTGAATAACCTGGTAGATAAATTAATGTACCAATTGTTAAATTGAACTGAAGTCCGTAATTTGCTGATAAATCAATTGAACTGAAGGCCGTAACTATTTTATATCAGTTTAACTGAATGGTGTAACTAGTTTATCAAAGGCTGAAATAATTTAATAAATGAATTGAAGTGAAGATTTCAATAAGTTAATAAATGAAATGAACTGACGGCTGTAATAAGTAAACACTAATAAGTTAAGCTGAATGCAGTAATTAGTTGATAAAAAAATTGAATTGAAGGCTTTAATAAGTTAATAAACGAGATGAACAAGAGTCTCTAATGAGTTTAGAGTATAGCTCGACCAGCACCTCGGCCTGCTGCTCGAGCTTGTCCTCAGTGCAGGGCGCGGGGTCCTGCGTCGCAGGGACGTAGAGGCGACGTCTCGAGTGCAGCAGACGCAGCTCCCCGCACCGACGCACGCGTCCCTCAGGCTCGTCCCAGCTCATCAGTCCTGGACGGTCAGGACCAATTTAAAAAAAATATAACTCGGTACTCAATGCAGTGAGTGACAGAGAGCGCACTTTCTCGTCGACGAAAACGTGAAGTCACGGACGAACAGACGGACGGACGGACAGATTGGCATGGCGAGCACAATAGTGCATTTTTACCATAAATGAGGAAATGCGCTAAAAATCGTATTTACTCAAGTATAAATTTGAAGTGAATAATTTCTACATCGATGATGGGAAAAGAATGATTCAAATGTTTTTTCTAAACTATTCAAAGGCGGAATCAGTCACTTCCTGAGCGTTGGGTAGGACGCATAGGAAATTATGATTTGGCTCTACACTTCTGGCCACCGAGATCACCTGACCTCACGTGACTATTTCTTATGGAGTTACATCAAGGAATCTGTTTACGTCCCGCCTCTACCAGCAACTCTGTTTACGTCCCGCCTCTACCAGCAACTCTGTTTACGTCCCGCCTCTAACAACTCTGTTTACGTCCCGCCTCTGCCAGCAACTCTGTTTACATCCCGCCTCTACCAGCAACTCTGTTTACGTCCCGCCTCTACCAGCAACTCTGGTTGATCTGAAGAACCGTATCACTGCTACGGTGCACTCAGTAACAGAAGATATGCTTTCTCGTGTGCGGGACAAGTTTGGCTACCATTTAGATGTTTGTCGTGCAACACATGGGGGACATATTAGAAATTTATAAATATGTAAAAAAAATTGAAGCTTTCTATTTCTTTCGGTGGATATATTATTCATTTTTAATTTACCCTTAAATAAATACGAATTTATTAAATTGGGTCTCAATCATTTAGAATAATCCTGTATGGAATTACGGATGTAATTCTTTAACCATGAACCAAAATATAAAGGTAAGATGAAATTTAGAGCCAATTATATTCTTAAGCATTACTTTTTGGTGGTCTGTCCCAGCTCATAAGAACTCAATCTTCAGGCATGCTTCGTTATAACAAAATCTTAATATGGATAAAATTCTCTTACTATTCACCATAATGTTACGGTAGATGTAATTTAGACCTTACTACATTCTTAGGTATTACTTCTTGAAATATTTAACAATTTAAAGGGATAAACTGGATAACTATATAAAACTGGCTTTAAAAAGTGTAAATACGAAAAGGAAAGCGCACAGAGCGATAACAACCATTTTGGACATCATCAATTCTAACAGACATACTGGATAGGAATTGATTAATTAAAATACGCTAATTGGATTTTACTTGATCAACTCAAACCTGCTTAATTGATTGGACTTAATCTATTTAAACAAGAACACTGGATTTTACGCAGCGCTTTTCTTACCGTCGTTGGATTCTTTAGACGAATCCGCATCTTTTTCTTCATCGTCGTCGGAGACGCAATCGAAAAATTCATCCTCGTCGAATCCCAGCAAGGAAGTCCCGGCAGATCCTGCAGCAGCAGATCCTGCAGCAGCTGCAGCAACAGAAGCAGCTGCAGTGCCGCGTTCCCTGCGCTCGCGGTGCGCGATGCAGCAGTTGAGCATCTGTAGCTTCTGCTGCAGCAGACACGAGGCGAGGTCTGGGGGAGGAGGCTCCTCGAACGCCGGCGACACGCCGGGTACCACCAAACAGTTGTCCCATCTGTAGGAAAATTTAATTAAAATTATACCAGCAGAAAAATTAATTAAAATTATACCTGCATAATATTTAATATTAATCATATCTGAATAAAGAATGAACAAAATACTACGGTACCTAAGGAAATTTCTAATAAATTCTCACAGGTACCTATTAAGATAGTAAAGAATAGCAGTCATCGTTAAAATTAATGGCAATGAAAATAGTTCAACACGTTTGAAACGTACCAATAAGGGCAAGAAACTTCCTAATGCAACGAGGATTATCTAACTTGAAAATTCTATAATAGATGAGATATATAATGAAAATGCACGATTTTACAGAATAAAATATCTAATACAATTGCAGATAGCATATTTGAAGTACCTAGTTGAAGCATACGGTACTTAACTTGACAAGAAAAATGCTAAATTAGAGTAGAAAAAAAAAGCATTGAGCAGACGAGACGTTGCTACCTGAAGCGGAGTTCGAGCAAGACCTCGTAGAGGAGGTGGGCGACAGCGGGCAGCCCACCAAGCGAGTGCAGAGCGTGACAGCACACCACACTCAGGCGCCACACTAAACCCTCGGCAGGTGCAGTCTTCAGACCCACACACACATCCTGAACATAGAAGATCAAATTAAAATAAAATATAAATACATTTTGGAAACATCTGGTACTAATGGTTAACTAAAATTATTCGTGACAGTTTAATTATTAATTACATAAAGATAGGTGACCGCATATAGCTACAATATTTAACCCTATCACATTTCAAAAAGAAACTAATCACTTCAAATCGGAAGTTACTTTACAATAATTTTTCCGTAATAAATTTTAATCTTTGCTTAGCCCTCTACCGCCTGACACGAGTAACCGGAGCAATATTATCACGCGCCTACTTACCAAAAAGGATACGTTCTAGTGAGCGCAAAATGACTTGCACTGATGGTTGCCGCCACGTACGACAACTTTAAAATGTTCTCTGTTGCGTACAAACGTCCTCAGGCTGCTTCACTCAATAGTTTACGTATAATTTAAGCTGAAAGTTATGTCCCGAGGAGAGTGACATACGGCGGTAGAGGGTTAAATATAAACAAGAAAACGACTACATACCCGCCCACCGAACACAGACCTTGAGGGGGTGTTCATCGGGGAGGTGTTGAACGTGAGGCTGCCAGTGAGGCACTCTAGCAAACGTCGTAGGATATGCTGAGTCATTATCATCATCAGTTGAATACTCTTCAGGGAACAGGAAGTTCAATATGGCAGCGATGACTTCCTCAGATAACGGGCCTTGCTGTACAGTCGAGCCTCGTTTATTCCCTGATCAAGTGATTGGCTTTAGTTTGTGTCGATTTATTACAAAAGAAACAAGGCGAGATTTAGGTAGAAACTGCATAAATGCTTTCTAAACCCTGGGTCGTTAGAAAATTTACGCATTGAATTATTCATTGTTTGAATTATTAAATACATAAAATGTGTAGCACAATAAATCATGAATTGGGCATCAAGTAGGAACATTTGCACAAGTTATAAAATGACAACGCAACCGTTTTACACACGAACTATTGAAAAGAAAAAACAATTAAACGTATGGAGCTTCACCAGCGGCGCGGTGTCGGTGAGGTCCCAGCAGCACGGCGCCCAGCGACGGCACAGCGTGCTCCGTGAGGCGGTCCAGAGCGCTGCTCACGTCCCTGCCACCTGCGCACATTATTATGGTGTAGTAATGGGCAGGTGTACATATTATAATGGTGTAGTAATGGGCAGGTGTACATATTATTATGGTGCTGTAACGGGCAGGAGTGTACATATTATTATGGTGCAATAATGGTCAAGTGTACATATTATTATGGTGCAATAATGGGCAGGTGTACATATTATTATGGTGCAATAATGGCCATGTGTAGCACACAGTGATATGGTAGAAATAATGTAACGCATCGACATGAGTTGTGGACATGAAGAACGCAGTTGCTACAGTTTTTGGCGAAAAAGACCTACCATTATGGCAGAGACTCCGGTCACTCAGCACATCTCTATGTCTTAATGACATTTTTACTCGCCATTTTGTTTGTGGTCGTACTTAATTTCGTCTTTTAGGTACCATCATTGTGTAAATCCATTCAAAAAATTTTTCAAACGTGCATGTCGTGAAATTCCATTCAATGAAAAGAACTGTAACTTAATTACAGAAGTATTAACCTAAATTTATGACTGGAGGGAAGCATGGATACAGTTTTCTCGTGATCTGTTGCATTGACTAAGCGAATAATAAGTTTACTAAAGATAAACAACACATGAATGTGTAACGCGTGCTATCAGAATACTCTAGTACAATGAGATAACTTTTAATCCTGCTTTAACTTGGCGGCCCTAATGCCTTGCAATTAGTAATGTAGTGTCAATTAAGACAAATATTGCGCGCTTTGTGCCAGGTACAACAATTTCATTAAATTTTCGCCAATATGTTGAAACCTAATGAGAAATGCGAGAATTATTCATTGTTTCTAACAGACAAGCTTTATAAAAAATGTTACATAATTTTATTAAATTATCACTAAATATGCTTTTATTCGCCCCTTGATTCCTAATTCTGTACTGCGTGTTGTTCTTGATTTCATTCTAGACAAATTGAGTGATTTATTTTTTCTCAATCTATAATCTATAGCGTAATCATCATAATTGACATAGACATAATTCAACTATCAACGTGAAGTAGAATATTGCACTGACCCTGAGCGCCGTGGTCGGAGAAGGCGCTGCCCAGCAACTCTGGCACAGAGCGCTCGTCTCGACACGCGTGCAGCAGCTCCATGAGATGTTCCCCCAGCAGTCCTGCCACCTCAGGGCCTTCCACTCCTCCTGGGGGACAGGGAACAAGATCATTAGGCTCCTAATGCTCCATGAGATGTTCCCCCAGCAGTCCTGCCACCTCAGGGTCTCCAAAGTCCCCACAGGGATACAGGCAGTGGTCAACATGATTAGAATGATAACGATCCCTCAGCAACATACCTAAACTTGACAATACGGAGCGGATTATTGCCGAAAGACGTAAATTGAGTATGCATCACTTTAGCTTTCGTCGTTATACATTGCTAAGGTATTGAAACCACTGGCGTAACTTTCAGTTAACGCGGACAATTATTAGCATTAGAGGGATCAGTTAGCCTATGCAGTAGACAATCTTTGACTTACCTTGGTGTTATCAGATACGGAACTGACCTCGGTGACGGTTTAGCACTGGGAAATACAAACAATAAAGCTTGCTACTCTCTAACTGACACTGTAAACTTTACAAGTTCGATTTTTATACTGTACACACTGTGTATAATTACAGTATTAAATATGCTCACCGTACATAACATTGCGACCTCCAAAGCAGATAATAAAATAATATAACCAAAAGACAATAATCAAAAATAATATATTACCAGCAGGAGGCAGGACCTTGGCGGTCCAGCAGGGAGCGTCGCAAGGGTCGAGGGTGAACCGCAGCAGCGAGTCCTCAAATGATCCGTGGGGTAGGCGGGGCCAGGCCGCTGATAAATGCAGCTCTCTGCACAGCAGTAATGACCTTAACACGTTGACTACGAAGTGGTACATATGCGTACCACGAAATGTATTTCACCAGGACGTAGTGGTACATAATTCAGGTTGCCTAAAATTGGCCAAATCCGAGAACAAAAAAGGCCAAAAAAAGGCTGATAACTCAAAATATACAAGTTTATTTGTAGGTTCCACTATAAAAATTCCATTCATTTTCTTTTTGCAGTATTTACAATTTAATTAGGAAGTACCCATATCATAAATTTCAGCCGGCTAACGCAATTGAGAAAAACTAAATCACTGAATTTGTCCGGAAAAAATGACCGTCTGGCAAAACTGTTTAAAAACAGTACAAAAAATGAAATAATAGTACAAGATGAAGCAATCGTAGTCAACGTGTTAAAATTCCCTCTTTACATTCACAACTCTTGAGTACCAAATGAAGAATTCTGTACCTGATTATTCTATCGTTACATATGAAGGTTTTTTTCGTTTTCAATAATAAGCTAATTATAGCCTTCACAACTCCTGAATACCTAATAAAGTGATCTAAACCGGATAAATTAGTGTTATATATTATAAAGGTATTGATAACATTCACAGGAACAACATGAAAATTGGCATTATCTGGAAACGCATGAGAGCCACAGTGAAAATATTATACATCAGTACATAATCGTCTGATAAATAGAATGCAGCTCTTCATTTAACTTTATTGTGGCAAAATTTAAATGCTCGTGAATAGCATTACATATCATGAGTTCCAAATATTTAAATACTGATCGACGCCACGATTATATGACTGCAATGACCGATTCAAATAACATTTAAACAAAAGTGACATTGTTAATATTAAAAATATCGAATTATTCGAATAGATATATTCACCTGACAGGATCATAGAGCAGACCAAAAGGCAGTTGTTTGAGGCCGGAGTAGCCGAGATCTCCCAGATCTCCCAGCTCCAGGTCCAAGTCAGGTGGCGTCTGAGCCCAGCAAGCCTCCTCAGGCCATTCATTAATAATGTAAGTGAAGCGTATGGATGAAACTGGCTCAAGCCGCAAGCGCTCGATGCCAACTTTGTCGCTTATGAGCTCCACCAAACCTAGAATAAACATTGCATGGTATTTAGTTCAGCAGGACTCTGAAAAAGGTTTAACCTCATACGTTCAGAGAATAAATACCTAATCATGCAGACAATTAGAATATGTGAAAATATGTTAGGAATTTAAATAAAATTATATATTAGGTTCTTATAATATATAACTTTTAATCTGTATATAAGTACTTATAGCATGTTTAATTGAACGAAACTGTCCGTATACCACAGTCATTCTACAACATAGAATAGTTCCACAAACGCAACAGCAAATTTACCACATTCATACCCCAACATATCATGCTTTTATGAACGCAACAGCAAGTTTACCACAGTCATTCCACAACTTTGCATGCTTCCATGAACGCAACAACAAATTTACCCCAGTCATCCCACAACATTGCATGCTTCCATGAACGCAACAACAAATTTACCCCAGTCATCCCACAACATTGCATGCTTCCATGAACGCAACAACAAATTTACCCCAGTCATCCCACAACATTGCATGCTTCCATGAACGCAACAACAAATTTACCCCAGTCATCCCACAACNTCATAGTCACGTAGAATGTGTTGCTACCTTCATAGTCACGTAGAATGTGTTGCTACCTTCATAGTCACGTAGAATGTGTTGCTACCTTCATAGTCCTGACACTCGACAGGAGGCGAGCAGCGGAAGTGGATCATGTCGAGCGTGGCTCTCAGCCCTGGCGCCGTCACGCTGCCCATGAACACGCGCTCTGCAGGCTTCAGCACCTGCACCAGCATCGCCACCTCGCTGCTCAACAAAATTATTACAGTTACAGAAAAATAAATTTAACACCAAAGATAAATTCTGCAATTTTAAACAAAGTGAACCTGTTGACGTAAGTGTGAACCGTTCACTGAAACAATTACGTACATTTCAAAATCATTTGGTTCTCAAAATTGGAAGAAAGAAAAAATATTATTTTGCCTGTGAAAATTGGATCAAAATCATAAGAAAATTCACTGTATTTCATTAAAAAAAACTTTCCATAGACTAGATTGTTCACAAAATAAAAATTAGATAATACAAGTTTAGTTAAATTGAAAACTAAATTAATGAATACAAGTCTCAGTGTTATCAAGAAGAGGTTCCTGTTATAAATTGCAAGGATTCATAAATGATTAAATTTGAAGTGTCTGAGGCGGAAACTAAAATTTTATAATCATTTTTGAAAACAAATTTTGCTATGCTTGGCCAGAGCTCATACAGCTGATTGATGTGGATCAGCAAATTGATTTCCTGGATGCCAGACTGCTACATCAGATTGGACTCCTGCCACAGTGTTAGTCCTATCTGATGTGGAAACTATGCAACATCATTCTGACATACTATACTGATAGTGGAAAACTGGTGGTATAATAATGCTTATAATTCTTATCCAATTGACATTTTTAATTGAAAGTATTTAATGTTATTTTGCCTTCCATTAATTAATGTAGGTTTTAACGAACCTTTGGAAATTTTGACATCTATTTTATTATATTGGTAATCTTGAATTTTGATCTCATGAAGGAGCTGTTGTAAGAACCATCTCAATTAAAATATGGTGAATCTTTTTATTATTTCCTTTTCATTAATTTTGAATGACAAAAATTAATTCTATGAACCTAAGTCAATATTTGTATGCCTCTAGAGACAGCTACAGCACAAGTTTATATTAAAATTTTTTCAACAAGAAGCCTTGGTAGTTCACTAATAAATTACTTAAACCATGCTTCAAACAGACATTTTAACCACTAATTAGCTTATATAAAATAACAGGCTCCATTTGTCAACAGAAATAACATACTTTCAAGGCATTAAAGACGTTCCATACCAGCCCGTGTTATTGGCAGCCAGAGTGAGGGCAGAGAGGAGCAGACGTGCCTTGGAAGGGGCGACACTACAGCTGCTTGATGCTGGTGCTGCAATGATGAACTCCCTCAAGCCATACCTACAAATAAAATAGTTAATAGGGCAAACTTTATTTACTTTAAAAACCCAATTAGAAACTGTGGTGAAAAATTCTCGAGACTTTCTTTTCAAATTTAATTTGAAAAACTACAAGCAAAATAGATTGGTATCTTTATTTTATGACCAACTTTAATAATAAACATATCTGTAAATGTAAGAATTACCTACTTCTTTAAATGTGTGGATTACATGACAGAGAATGAAACAGTTGAGACGAGTCTCACCATCTAGCTACACAATGAGCTCTGTTAGGGAAACAGTTGCTGCAGTCATGGATGTAGGCAAGTGAAGGTGGCAAGCTGTCTTCATAGCTTTCTTCTTCTCCAAAGTCACCTGGACTGAGAACATCAGCCCTGCCTAGTAAGAGGTCAAAACATCATTTTTAGTTCAACCATGAAGGCTACCGTACTTGCTTACCATGAAATCAAGTTGGAGACATTATAATTATTTCAATTACAAAAGCTTTTTACTATTTTACTATCAAAAGTATTTTACTGTTTTACTGCTGCTATTGCTGAAATAATACATTTCTGGCTGCAAGAACTGACCATGATTGCTACTTTCTTCAGAACTTCCAGTCTCCAAAGGGCAGTGATAACTCAATTCAAATGGAAAATCTGTAAAAAGTGATGATGTTAATATAATGATGCAAGTTAAAAAAATAACTCATTAACATCAGGTTTATACAATTAGATAATAATATTGAATAACCTATATATTGTTGGCTACAACACAGTTTTAATAATGCCTTACAGATTTCACTTTAATGTTACAAGATGACAAATTGTACTTCACATCATTCCCAGAGAGATTTGTAGTTTTCTTGTGAAAGGTGCAAATATGAGACCAAACACTTGAAATTTGAATGTTCAGTGGCATATTTGTTTAAATTATCTCACCACTGTAGTTTATTATTTGCTTTTGTTCCCTCCACTGGGAGCTTGCGCTGACACTAGAAGACGGAGGAGGAGGGATGCTGCGGCCACCACCTGCAAGACCCCAACCCTGAATGGCCTCTTCTACAGCAGCTGTAAATACTTCCCATTCTGAAGCAGTAGTGAAGTCTACAATTTCAAAAACTTCTTCCTGTTGAAATAGTTAATATTAATAGAAAATATATTAATATATATAAAAATCATATATATATGAAATAGAAAGCTTCATACCTGACCATAGCCCAAGTTTGAATATACTTGTCTAAAAATGCTAATTAAATAGTAACTTCAATTATCAAAAATAGCATTAAATAATCAATTTCATCAAAAAAATTTTTAAGCTGCTGCCAGACATTCCATTTGCTTGTGTGTCCAAGTATGTACTGATATTTAAGTCTAATAAACTGATTATAGTGCAAAAATGGACAAGGCAAATTGTTCCCTGCAAACACCGCTTATTTTTCTGAATAAAACCATCACTGCATGCTGAGTTGGGCATTTTGGTTAGATTTACAGGTGTAGCTTCTACTTGATTTTCCAGGTTTTTTTTAAACTAATCTAGAATATTAGGCAGAATTTTCTTAAAATTGCAGGTATAAAGCTAGGAAATCAATCAATGGCCATCTGTAAATCAGAGAAAATCCTAAAAACATTTAATCTGGCCACTTTTACCCATTCCTATAGCCTTTCATGCAGCTTTTTAGTAAATAATCAGAAAAATTGCCTATTTTCACCTGCCATAAAACAATTGTTTTAACCTACAGTCTTAGAAAATTTTAGCCCAATATTTCAACAACCTTTTCGGTATTACTTTAGATTAAGTGCATCCAAAAAAATGGTATTTTTTTTTTAATTATATGTTTTTTTTGCGGTGTAAAATGTAGATTAAGAATCTGAAATCCATTTTTGGCGGTCGGCATTGGAAATTTTTATTGGAACCTGTTCCTAACTGGACCTTCCCTACGAGGTTTTCAATGATCGGCTAGGTTTTTTCTATGTTTGGAGGCTGTCAGGCGGCCGGAAAAACCTAGCCAATCAATCAACGAAAACCTCGCAGGTTAGGTCCAGTTAGGAACATGTTCCATTAAAAATTTCCAATGCCGACCGCCAAAATCGGATTTCAGATTCTTAATCTACACCCCAAAAAACATATAATTAAAGAAAAAAAAACGTTTTTTTTTGTGATGCATTTAATCTAAAGTATTACCACCTTTTCACTGTTTACAGATAATTTTGGAAATACTAGTTGATCAAAAGTACCATTTTTCTTATTTCTTGTATGAGAAATACGTATCAGGCAAGGGCATAAAAATGGTTAAATAATAGAGGAACTCTAGGATTGTATATCTTTAACGGACAATGGCTTAACCTAAGCGCAAAGGGGGCGCAATCCAGATACATACAGCCTGGGCTGAGTGAGTGAGTGGACTCCCCTTCCCATTTGGTTAATTAAATTGATTATCAATATTGATAGTAGGCATTAGCCCATTAGGGATTAGCCTAGCTGCCTAGGCAAACCTGCCTGGTCATTTTTTTCTCATAATCAGAGGTGGTTTCCACTTTCTGCCTAATTTCTCATACCAGAATGACTTTGCAAGTTGGGACTAGCAATCTTTTCTCAGTTCAGATTCAAGATTCTCAGAGTCAGAAAAATAATACATAACATAAAAATTGAAGCATAGTGACAAACCAGAGATTTTTTAGAATCAGTTCATTTTTAATTTCCTCATTTACTCAAGATTTAAACCAATTTCTTTTGTATGATAATGCTGGTATCCATGATACTTTACTGGTCTACTTATAAGACTCAAAAATGAACTTGAGGGAGAGTCTAAAAAACTCTCTGCTTTGCCACTATGAATTGAAGTAAATGCTCCAAAAAATTGTTGGTGCTTGAAGTCTGATATTTGAAATTCTGGTAATTGTTTCATTGAGTATTCTTTTCGTTACTTACATCACCATCCTGAGAATGCATGTCTGAGACCGTGTGACGGAGAGATCCAGATTCCAGGAGCAGTCGTTTACTGTCGCTGTCGGAACAGAGAAATTAGCTAAGTGGCTGTCACTCTGAGGTCTTGAAGAGATTATTACACATATATAAAATAATAATACTTTCAAAATGCGGCTTAAGTATTTTCTGTGAATACTTAAAAGTATTTTTTTATTCTTGACAGTAACGATTAGTCTATTACATTAGAAAACTACAGGTGTGCAAAAATCAGATAAAAATTTGTCATCATAACAGTAAACAGCTGATTTTTCCATGATGTAATCTTTCTTTAGGGTAGATGCAATGTCACCCACAATTTTGTTACCCTAATTGTTCCACCAAAAGGGTCAAAATTCCTTATATATTGAATAAAACGAAAGACATTGTTGCTAAAAATGTAATATTTAGCTTACAAATAAATATTATCTCTCAGTACAAGTAAATTTTGAATAATTAGTTGCATCATTGGAAAGTTTCTTCAAATGTACAGGAGGTTCCAATATTCCAAATTTCCAATTTCCCAAAATTTACAGTTGTCCAGAGTCCAGACCTAGTGCAGTTTCGATTGTGAGTTTGTGGTGAGCGGACGTGTGAGCTCCGCAGTGACAAAATCTGCCGGTTCTAAAACCAGTGCTATAAGTGTTACTGAGTTCTGACAATTTATATAAAGTAACATCAACAAAAATACCAACTCCCATCAACATCTCAAGGACAATATCACCCAACAAGACACCGAGGGTGGATTCCTCACAAAAGGAGGGCCGTCTCCTAGGGGACCACCTCCCAACGGCAACGAACATGAAGCCCAAGGATCAAAGCTCAAAAGAAAAGCTCAAGAAGGGGGGAAAAACGCTCGAGCCTCTCTCACCAACTGAAAGTAAGAATAAGCTTAGTCAATCGCTGAAAAGAAGAATGAACTTCCCAGCTGCCTCTTCAAAAACCAAGAAGAGTGCTCTGGAAGACTTAGAATCTTCAACTAAAACCTCAAACAGACCTACCAATGCAGTCCTAAACCCTGACTCTGCCCCCCAAGCACAAGCAGAGGAAGAATATGATGCAGATTCAATAATAAGTGGAGTCCTATCAGACAGCGAGAACGAAATGGATCAACTACAATCAAGCAATAACCTTTCTGCACTGCCCAGATGTCACAGACATCCATGCCAATACTGGATAGCTCCAGCTCCACTCCTATACCTATGCAACAAGCTAACGCACCAAGATCTGCTAGAGCAAACTTAAACTGCCCTGAACAGCTTCAAAATGCAGGAAAGGACATCAGGCAAATACTGATAACAGCAAAGGAAGAACACACAAACCTATCCAAAATAAACCCTTTTCGCATTGCTGCAGCCACAGACAAGATCTGCGGACCAGTAGAAAAAATAGAACATCTTCGCAATGGATCCCTGCTCATCACCACCAAAACGCTGGAACAGGTAAAAACCTTGATGAAATTATCTGAATTCACCCCTGCTGGCACTCCTATCCCAGTAGACACAACAATAGCCTGGTCGTCCCACTTTTCATATGGAAAAATCTTTGCTCCTGAACTACAGGGTGAATCACTGGAATATCTGCTGTCAATACTAAAGCCCAACAAAGTGGTGGGTGTAAGAAAACTCTTATCAGACCCAGCTAAGTCCCACATCCCACTGTTTGTCTTGACCTTCTTAAGCCCAACCCCACCCACCAAAATACAAATAGGGTACTGCTACGTCAGAGTAGATAAATATTACCCCAACCCACTAAGATGTGGGCAATGCTGCCGATATGGGCACTCCCGTGCCAGATGCTCAAACAAATTACCCTCATGCAGCCACTGCGGTAAAATGGGACACACAAGAGAGAGCTGTACAGACATCAACCTGCCCCCCAAATGTCTAAACTGCAAAGGCNGAACCCCAACGCTGGCACATCAAAGCTGCTGACTGGGCTGGATTCCAGCAATCTCTAACATTGCCCACAGCATTCTTGTCACCAACCCAGGCATGTGGGGCAGTAACAACAGCTATTCTCACTGCTGCCCAAGCCCACATACCATGCTCAACACCAGGCAGACACAGACCAGGAAACTGTTGGTGGACAAAAGAGTGTGCCATTGCACGACGCAGAAAAAACAAAGCCTTAACCAAGTACAGGAACCACCTTGGAAACCTTGATCTCTGGATTGCCTTCAAACAAGCTCGAGCCATCTTCAGGAAGACTGTATGCATCGCCCGCAAGGAGAGCTGGACACAATACTTGGCCACAATGACAGAAAAGACAAGCAGCAGTGAGATCTGGGGCAAGATTAGAGCACTCTCCCACAGACAAACCCCTCGAGCAATAACACTCATCAGCAACAACACCCTACACACAAACCCAACTACCACCTCCAACATACTCGGGCAACACTTTGCAAAGCAAAGTAATGGGAAATATGACAATCCCATCTTCTCAGCACACCAAGCAACACAGGATGCCCACCCATCTCACTTTGAAAGAGACTCTAAACAGTGGTACAATCAAAATTTTACTACAGACGAACTACACAGAGCCCTGCACTCATTATCTTCCAAATCACCCGGTGCTGACACCATCCCCTTCAGCTTCCTACACCACTTTCCCTCACAGCAACTGAATTCACTACTCAAATTCTACAACTATATCTATGCAAATGGATTCCCCCACCAATGGAGATAAGCCATCATTGTCTCCATCCTCAAGCCTAGAAAACCTGCAACAAGCGCCTCCTCTTACCGCCCCCAAACAAGCGCCTCCTCTTACCGCCCCAACAATAACAAACTGCCTATGCAAGATAATGGAAAAAATGATTAACTACCATCTGCAAGCACAACTAGAAAGGTGTGCATTCTTCAGCCCGTATCAGAGTGGCTTTCGAGCTGGACACAGCACTGTTGACGCACTCTTCCGTCTCGAATCTGAAGTCCGCGAGTGCCTCCTAATTAACAATTCATGTGCTGCAATTTTCCTAGACATAACAAGGGCATTTGATACTGTGTGGCATGGAGGCATCCTGCAGAAATTAAAAAGCATGGGCATAGGTGGCAACTTGGCTTGCTTTGTGAGGGACTTCCTCTCTCGTATCATTCAATTTGTAAAGACCATACCTATCGATTCAAACATGGGTTTCTTCATTTTCCCCATAGTTCTTTTTTTATTCGAGTTTTTTCAATTTTTTCGCTTTTTTTTCACTTTTTCCCTTCTCCCCCATATAAAAAAAACGAACCAGACAGAAATTCAATAAAGTGATGTTCAAGTCAATAGGTATGGTCTTTACGAATCGAATGGTATATGTTTCATTGCTGTAGCTTAATTCTTCATTAAGCTGTTTGCTGCAATATAAGTTTGCTTGATTACTTTTTCTGCATCCATAAGCAACACAGTTGCTCTAAGAAGTCATTATTAAGGTTCTTGATTATTACTGTTTTTCTGCTTGTTAATTAATGCTTGTTCATATTTAATCCAATTCTTTATCTTATAGTCTTATGGCTATGATGCATAAAATTAATAAGTTTTACTGTCTTTTTATGGCAGATCACATATGCATCTTGTCCATGCTCCTATGTACGTTAGTCCATGCTCCCATGCTCCTGTTCTAGTTAGTTACATGCTCCTATGCTCCTTGCTCCTATTCTTGTTAACTCCTATGCTCCTTAGTTCCTTATGCTCCTATGCTAGGCCATTCTTCACTCAGTTATGCACCACACTTATTCATTTCATAACCAAGAGCCATCTAATTGAACTGTAATCTAAATTCCATTTCATTTGTCATTAATAAAAGATCAATTTTAGTCTCATCATTATCCACTTCCCAAGTAGGTTGTTGCCAACCTATCAAGTAGAAGTAGGCGACGTGTTTGCCTCACCCGCGGGAGACACGCGGCAACATCATATTTGACCAAAAACTTACCTGGGGCCCCCACATAGCGGGCCTTGCCTCTAGATGCAAAGCTGACCTCCGCCTGCTACGAGTAATTGCTGCCAGAAAGTGGGGAGCTGACGCCACAACACTCCGGCGGCTATACATTGCCCTAATCCGGTCCAAACTTGACTATGCCAGCTTCCTCCTAACTCCAGCAGCAGCCACGCACCTGCTAAAGCTCAACAGAATTAAATATGAAGCCGCACAAATCATACTAGGGTCACTGCGCTGCACACCCACTGCAAAACTAGCGGCAGAGGCAGATCTGATGCCTCTAGAACTGAGGTGACAGCAAACTCTACTGACGTACTGTTCCTGCATCCTCATCATCCCCCGCCACTCAGCAAGATCCAAAATACTCAATTACGATCTCTTTGCGCTATATGAACACCTCACTTGACCGCTACCAGCAGCAGGACGAGCATTCCAAGGCTTCAGGGATCTACAACTAAAAATAGAGGATGTCTCAACTGTGCCAATGCAAGCGCTCTACATCCCTGCCAGACTTGAAACCTGGGCCACACTTGCAGCACAACGCAAAGAAACAACCTCTCCTGAACAATGGCAGCAAGCTTTCAAAGACCTTCTGAATCACACATACCCTACCCACCACGAAATCTACACTGATGGCTCCACATAAGACAATAAATCAGGATGTGGAATCCACAGCTCTTCATTTCAAATCAAAGCCCATCTACCAACAGCTACATCAGTCTTCTCAGCAGAGCTGTACGCTATCTACTTTGCAATAAAATTTGCCACTGAAAAACCTGGCAAATTTGTCATATTCACAGACTCCCTTGCCTGCATTGCTGCCTTCGATCAGCCCGCCCCTCCAGACATCACCTGGTGCCATGGATCCAGAGCCTTCTCATGACTCTCACTCCAAACAAATTTTCCCTGGAGTGGGTCCCTGGCCATGTTGGTATAAAAGGCAATGAAGCTGCCAACAGGCTGGCCCGCTCCTCACTGGATCTCACGCAGATCACACAGGTGCCCCTCTGCTCTGCTGACACCAAACAACTCATCACTCAAACGTTTCACACTAAATGGCAAAGAGCATGGTCTGCACAACCACAAGAACTCACATTTTTCAAGCAAATACTGGGCCCACTAGCCCAACATTCCCTTCCTTGTCCACATCAAGTTGCCATCACACGGATTCAACTGGGAGTCTGCCTACTGACGCATGGCCATCACTTCACAAGCTCACCCCCATACCAGTGCTCCTCATGTCAATGCCGGCTCACTCTTGACCACCTATTCATTAACTGCCCTGCACTGTCTCCTCATCGCAATCAACTGAAAGCTGCTTGCATCCGCCTCGGAGTCTCCTTCAGCCTGTCCTTGCTCATAGCCCTTGAATTTCCTGCTGATATAATTATCAAGTACCTCCAAGACATCAACATGCTTGACAACATTTAGTAATCCAAGAAGATAGCTGAATGGGGGCGCCAATACTTCAGTTGGTGACACGCCTCATCTTAACCAAGTAACCAAGTAAGTAACTGTATAACCCCGGCGAGCAAGCTGATTCGTTGTCGAAAGAGGACTCCATGTCTCCAGGGAATGGAGTTGTAGCCTGCAAAAGGGAAGGAAAAAACACCAAGAGCCCTTATGGATTTGGGGCTTGGTGACTCTGAAGAGAAAAATGATATATCAGAGTCAGGCCTTTGCAATGGCCATCAGCCACGCATCACATATTCATTTGTTAGTAGAAAGGAGGAAGATAGGGAAATTAAAAACAGCAAGGAGGTTGTGAAAGTTTGTGTTAGTGGTAAGATGAGAGCTAGGTGAAAGGAAATCAAGAGGAAATACATATGGTTTATTATTGCTATATCTTAGTTTCTGTTTTTGCCCTGTGTAATTTTACATTTATGTTAGTTATGTGGCCTCTAATGCCCTGAGTGACTATCTGTGTTATATTGAATTATTATGGTTCAGTTATTCTATCTTTATTATACTGCTGCTCTCTACTGTCCCCTGGCCTCCACTCTTGCCAGCCTCCTCCTCCCTTGTTCTCCATGCACTCTCCAGAAATTGCTTTCCACTCTGTCATACTGTCATAGCAGCTGTCACCCCTTGACAAGCCCACTAGCATTGCCATCCATTCGTCTCCTGTTCTCTCATATACCACTCCGTCGCCCTCACCTCTCAGGCTCTCCTCTCTCATCCAGTATCACTCATCATTTCCAGTCTCTCCCGTTCATATGCATCACACTGACACACTCCATCATCAGGTGCTCCACAGTTTCCCTCTCACCTCTGTCATACATGAAACAAATATCCTCTCTTCTCTCATTCAACCTGTATGTCACACATTCACACTCGAAGCATTTGCTCTCACACAGAACATTAGATCTCCACCTCTAGTCCTCTACTTCCATCATATATGTACTCATATCTTGGAGGCTTGGCACCTCTTTTATCCTGATTCCTGTACAACTTCAGGCTGTCCTTTCTTTCCATTCCATGCTTCCAAACTCTCAGACCCCACAGTTTCACTCTCTTTTCTATTTCCTTCTTCCATTCTTTGACGTCCCATTTGATCCCCACTGCACCCTGTACTGTTATCATCCATTCCTCTCTTGGTCTATTATTCTCAGGGCAAGCCAGTGTTTCATGTAGTCCACACTTTCGTACTATTGCATGACACTTAGGTTCCCATTTGCTCACTTTATAACCTTTGATGGAGCCTCTGAATCTGAGGACGAGTGGCTTCTTCATTCTTCCTGATTTATCCTTTTCAGAAAACCCTACATTGATTGCTTGCAAGGGAAGAGATGCCCCATATTATCTGGGGCATCTCTGCCCATCTGCTGGGCCACTGGGGCATCTCAAGATCAATCCCCAGTATTGTAAGGTGATCAGTTTCAAAATATATTCTTGATACAATGATACAAAAACCTAAACATGTGCCAAACTTGAAATTTTTCAAATACTGGAAGGTTTTTGCACTTGAAGTACAGTAGTTCTAGTTGTTCTGTTTAATTTTTTTCATATCATATAGTTTAAACCCTCTTAAATTCCTCTCTCACCTCAGAGTCTCTCTGTAAGATTGCCAACTGTAGGCAACATGGGCCCTGTGGTTGTGGGAAAGTGAAGAGATGGGGCAAAATGGCAAGTGAACAGGTTACTGCCCTTCACAATTATCAAAGACAGCAATGAAAAAGTTATAAATCTAAAAAAGATTTGTCCATTATGAGGGGGAGAATATTGTATTAAAATAATTTTTTTAGATATTAAAGAATTTCAGCTCAATCATCAATATGATCTTACTTGCTGCAGATAGAGCCCGTATTATTCTCAATGGCCCAGTATTCCATGAGGCAAAATATCCACTCCAACATTTTCAGCATCCAAGTAAAACCCAGCTGATTTGTATGAAAGTTTAAAGTAGTATGCCATGCTGAATTTTCTGAAAATTTAAAATAGTGTGCCATGCTGAATATAATGTAGAAAAAAAATTATTGTGAGCCATACAGCAATGTGTGCATAAGTAGCTTTTTATAATTTGAGAAAAGTCATAAATCAATCTATATATTATATATGCTTAAAATAGGAACAGTGATTAATTGATTGCACCTTCCTGAGGCTTCCTGTATTTTAAATATGGGATCTGTAACATATACATTTGCCTTAATCCTTTTCACAGAATCTATATTATTTATTTTCAGTTATTTTTGCCACTAACAGTCTGAAACTGTAAGAATGCCAAATAGTAGTTCAATAACTAAATCTTATGTTTATTCTAAAATAAATTCTGTTCGGTGGAAACCATCTGCATCTACATTCAGCAAGCCAGAAATTTTCATCAGTGGCTCATGGGACAATGAGGTAAGCCTGGATTCATATAATATAGGTTATGTTATCAACTGTGTTGTCACTAATGGTAACAGCAAAGTTTAATTGGTGTGCAACAAAATCAACATAATGTGAGTTTCTCAAATGTTTATGCTAATAGACTCCTGCGTTTGGTATTTTTTTGTATCCAAGATGAGATGAGACAACAGGCTCTGTCCCTGTTCGCAATAAAAACCGGGACAATTTTCAGCCGTCCGTAGAAATTCCGGGAAGATAACGAGACGAGACAAGACATCCCAGTTTCAATAGGTAGCTTAAAATTTTCCGGAATTTATGGCCATTTTAACAAGATATATCAAGAAATAACAAGACGAATCAATTATTGATGTGGTGTAAACTTTGGCTTACCGTCATACATTTATATAATAACTTGAGAGTGAGACGTATCCTTTTACTATTCTGATTTGAACTTGGTAATTGAAATGATTTTTGCTACGAATACATGTTGTGGTTTAATATGGTACTTAATCTTGACAGGCAAATAAAATGGAAAAGCACATTATTTATTTTCCAAAAATTGTGTTCTATGATTGCCTGGAGGAGGCCATACTAGCTGTAGCTGGTGACATCATTTGACTGGACAGACTTGATTTGCCTCCAGCTCAATCACAGAATCAGATTCATCAATCTTGCCTTGATCAATCTCCTTCAAAAAAAGTCTGGAAAGAAATGTCAACAACTTTTTTAAAATACAACAAAATTTAAGTTTGAAAAAATATAATAGTTTGATCTTTAAATAATATGCGTTAAAAAATTACTTTTTAAAGACAACACTTCTGAACAATCCAGTGTATTGGATGTTACACATGCCCAATGAATTTCTAATTTTATTTTCAAACATTGAAAAAAAATTATTTTAAAAAAATTTTTTATGATATCAAAATTTTGGAAATTTTCAAAATTATTTATTCTGTCAATTGATTCATGCATTGTCTCTGACTTTATGCAGTTGTGCAAAATTTCAGGTCAATTGGACAGGTCAAATTGTGTCATATATGGATTATAAGATTTTTAGCAGACGAAATTATTTTTTATTTTTTTTAATAATGAAAAAAAAATTTTTAATATATGAAATCATTTATTCTGTAAATTGATTCTTGCATTGTCGTCAACTTTACGCAAGTGTGCAGAATTTCTGATCGATTGGACAGGTAGAAGTGTGTTAAATAGCGATTATAAGATTTGTAGCAGACAGACAGACAAACAAACAAGAAGTGAAGTTAAAGAGAAGTCTTGTAAAAAGAACTTGAAATATCCATGTGTATCCTTCCTAAATAATGTTGAAGGGGGGGTACTGTCAAACGGGGTAAATAGACGCGCATCTTACATTTCATAGAAATGTAGCAGCTAAACTAATCAAAATATTGCAAAACTAAAAATAGTGGCGTAAACTTCAACATTTTACAACACTTCTTTTTTGTCTGTTTGTCTGTCTGTCTGTCTGCTACAAATCTTATAATTGATTTTTAACACACTTCTACCTCTCCAATCGATCTGAAATTTGGCACACTTGCATAAAAATGGAGACAATGCATGAATCAATTGACAGAATAAATAATTTTGAAAAAATTTAAAAATTTTATTTTTAATTTTAAAAAAATTGAAAAACTAATTTTTTCTGCTACATATCTTATAATTGCTATTTAACACATTTCTACCTGTCCAATCGATTTAAAATTTTGCACACTTGCATAAAGTTGGAGACAATGCATGATTTAATTGACAGAATAAATTATTTTGTAAAATGTAATTTTTTTTATTTTGAAATAAAATTTAAAAATGACTTTTTTTAATATTTAATGATAAAATTAGAAATTCATTCTACATATGTAACATCACAGATACTGAATTCTTTAGAAGTGTTGTCTTTAAAAAGTAATTTTTAAACGCATATTATTTACTATCTATTATGTATAATGCTAGTCAAGAAATCAAACATTTACCATCTTTAAAAAATCACTGAATAAAAGTGAAAAGTGCGACTTTGGAAAAGTATCTCTGCTAAGGTCTGGAGCATAAAAAATATTTGCCGTATTGAAAAATTTTACTTACCTACACAAAAGTTGCACCCTGGTGTCAGCTTGAAAATGTAATTGACAGAATTTGCCTATCTCATTAAAAAAAAAATGGCAGCCATTTCCGCACGACGGGGTAAAAAGGGACACCCCTGGGGTAATTAAAACACCCTTAAAAATGCATTTACAGTAGAACCTCAGTTAGCAAAGGTTCAGCTGACAAAAAAAATTGATTAACAACAAAGAATTTTGATTACATTTACCTCACTTGGCGAAAAAAAATTCACTTATAGAAAAATTAGTGCATCATCGGTCATCACAAAATTGTACATAGAATGCTATATGTATATAGAATTGTGCACTGGGCAACATAGAATGAAAAGTTATTGACCTAAACTATGATTCATTTCTTCAAAACATATGATGGTTGTCACTAAAACATTATTTTCTGTTTCAGGTATGTTTTTCACGATCTTTTTTGTTATAATGAAGTCGCTAGACTCAATTAAAATTGTGCAAAATTACAAACCATCCTGTAAGCTTACAGATACAGAAGAAATGCTACTTGGCTGCTGATATGAAGCTTGCAGTGGACAAGGTTGTTGTCAATGCTCAATGGCATGTCCATGGAAACAGCTGTCTCTTATACACATCTAGATGTGTATAAGAGACAGAACAAATACCAAGAGAAGCGATGAATCGTTCTTAAATTTGAAGCTGTCTGCTGAGATATGTATACCATCAGTTTTCTTATGTTATCGTTATAATTAATTATTTTAAAACTTTCGGTTATATTTTAATTAGAAATCAAAATTAATATTTATATATCTTGTNTTTTTGTTTGTAATGATCAAGTTTAAGTCTGTCTCTTATACACATCTAGATGTGTATAAGAGACAGCATGCATTGCCTCTGACTTCACACAAGTGTGCAAAATTTCACATCAATTAGACAAGTAAAAGTGTGTCAAATATCAGTTATAAGATTTGTAGCTGACAAAATTATTTTTTTCAATTTTTTTAATATTGAGAAATTTTTTTTTTATTTTCAAAATCATTTTTTCTTTGACATTTGATTCATGCATTGTCTCCAACTTTACACAAATGTGCAAAATTTCAGATCGATAGGATAAGTAGAAGTGTATTAAATTTTGATTACAAGATTTGTAGCAGACAGACAGACAAACAAACAAACAGACAAGAAGTGAAGTTAAAGAGAAGTGTTGTAAAAAAGGGGCTTCAATGCTTGTTAGGTACCGAATGGTCTTTAGGAATTGAATGGTATATCTTTCAATGCTGTAGCTTCAAAACTGTAGGAGGAGATAGGTTTGCAGTGACAATAAGTTAACCTTTCAGTAGAGCCCGACAAAGTCCCGCACGCATCGGAATAGGCACTCAGTGTAGCAAGGATACAAAACTGAACGTTACTGGAGCTTGATTCCAGTCAAGGATGGTGGGAATGACTGCATGCACACCACTTCATACAATGCCAGGTGGGTAACTGAAGTGCAGCTCAAGCAGACACTCTATTTAAGTGCTCGGCAGCTAATTTCCCTCTATCTTAAATGTTAAAGAACTCCACCACCCCTAACCCTTTAGCGATATGTCGTGAACGCATAAATCAATGTACAGAGATGGTTATGGTACCGTTGGATAGGTCAGAATGTCAGCTTTAAGATGAGACTACTAACTGAAAAAGTCAAAATCCTAAGTTTTAGGCAATACCCCTCCCTTAAACAAGCGTTTAATAACAATTCAGGAAACTGCGCGATTGTGAAGATTTCCTGAAGGCGTAGCACAAAATTTTACTAAAGGCAGTGATAATCTAAAACTAGCTTTAGTATTATTAGGAATATCTTACCAGGACTCCACACCACTGTCTACTAATTGGCCGACGAATCTGCGTCCCTATGCCCTCCGTGGCGCCTGAACTCGTTCCAAATGCATAATGAACTCAACTCGTATGCGTACGGTTCCCTTCAAGTGCCATGGAAGCCTTAGTTAAGACTTAATGGTAACATTTTTTACTCAATACTCAGCCATACATTGACAAGTTTGCGGTGTTTGTCTGACCACTATTTAACTGCCATGTCAGTTAGTTTGACAAATTTTGCTAAATCTGCAATTAATGCAATTTAACTGGCAACTGTCTATGGCCCTATTAGCAATAAATGGCTAACTTGTTGTTGGTGCTGGTCCTCATTATGGTGTTTATTGCTTGCTAGTAGTCCAAGTTTAGTTCATAAGGAAGTAATACTCTTTGTAAGCTTTAGCATTCAATAGAGATATAATTAAGTGGTAGAGTGAATAGTTTTAACTCGTGTTTTAATGCTGCTGGTTCAGCTTATAAAGATTTGTGCAATTCCTTTTAGGCTTCAGCTGGCCCAATTTTTCCCTGAGAACTTCAAATCCGCTTACATCACGCTGCTTCTCAAAAAGCCGGACCTTGACGCCTCAGACCCAAATTCGTATTGACCTATCTCCAACCTGTCGATTTTATTGAAACTTCTCTAGCGCGTTGTGGCCCGGCAGCTAAATAACTACCTTCATAAGTCAGGTCTCATGCCTCGCCTCCAGTCTGCATATCGTTGTCACCACTCGACGGAGACCGCCATGCTGAAGGTTTTTTCGGATATTCTGCAGGCGGTCGACTGTGGCAACATTGCGGTGCTGGCTTTACTCGATCTTTCCACTGCATTTGACACGGTCGACCACGCCACCTTGTTGCGTCGGCTAGACATATTGTATGGCCTGCGCAGTACGGTGCTGCGGTGGTTCGAGTCTTACCTCGACAATAGACTCCAATGTGTTTGTCGCGGGCTCTCCTCTTCTACACCATCGACGGTCACCTGCGGTGTACCGCAGGGCTCGGTTCTCGGCCAATACTGTTCCTGCTATATACTGCCGACGTGTTGCTCATAATTGATTCACACAGCTTGAATCCGCACATGTTTGCCGACGACACCCAAATCTATGGCTACTGTGCGCCGGCGGATGCTGCAGCACTGCAAGACCGGATGTCTGCCTGCATGGACGCCGTTTCAGACTGGATGCGTTCCAACCGGCTCCAGCTCAATGCATCGAAGACCAAATTTATTTGGTTCGCGACCGCTCGTCGCCAACATCAGCTTCCAGCAAACCTTGTGCGAGTGGGCGACGAGTTTGTCGCACCTGCATCCTCTGTACGCAGCCTCGGAATTCAGCTGGACTCAGAACTATCTATGAACAACCACATTGCCAAAGTAACCGCTGCTTTTTTTGGCATCCTGCGGCAAATTCGAAGCGTCAGTCGCTGTCTCCCAAGGCCGGTCCTCAAGGCCCTCATGGTGGTGCTTGTGCTGACCAGACTGGACTATGGCAATGCCACACTCTACGGACTTCCCATCACGGCACTTAACAAACTGCAATTCGTAATGAACGCTACAGTGCGACTCGTTTGTGCCCGGCAGAAATTTGACCACGTGACACCGATTTTGCGTTACCTTCACTGGCTGCGCATCCAGCAGTGCACGCAGTTTAAAGTCGCTGTTCTAATGTTCCGCTGCCTCCATGGTTTAGCACCACCTTATCTCGCTGAAGGCCTGCAGCATGTGTCGGATCTGCCTTCTAGAAGGCGACTGCGTTCCTCATCGAAGGATGACCTCGTCGTCCCGTCCTCACGTCTGTCCAGTCAGCAACAGAGCGTTCCCGGTCGCTGCGGCCAGAACATGGAATGGTCTGCCAGCATTGGTGACATCTGCTTCTTCGCTGCCATTGTTTCGTCGATGCCTAAAAACAGAACTTTTCCGTAGAGCCTTTGAATCTTAGACCTAGCCGTCATCTAATCTATCATGTATATTACTGGTTTAGCATAGGTGTTGTTTGTTCTAGCATAGACGTCGTCAGTCTTGGCATATGTCCTTTGTTTTAGCATAGACGTCATCTGTTTTTATCCTCTCGTGTCTTTTTTAGCCACTTGTAACGTGCCCTCGAAGTTCGATCCGAACGAGACGCCATGACAATCTCTTCGTGGAATAATAATAATAATAATATTTCGGTCATAACTTGTCAATTTTGTTGCATTTATTTTTTTTGCGTTTTCTTTATGCAATAACCCATGTTTTGTCTTTTTCTCCCTGGTGTTTTCACAGTTAGAGAACTTGCAATGTGTTGTTCTAATGGCTGACTAGCATTCTGAAGCTTTGCACAGTGGTTGACCTGGTGAGTCCTCTTGTCACCACTTGTTTGAGTTGATGATGATTGGGTTGCAACAAACATTAGTTTGGCTGATGAACAACAGAGCTTTATCCGTGATTAGCCTCAGTTTGATGGATATATAATATGATATACCACTTGCTTGATTGATTAATAGTTTTGCTACTTAAATGGTTTTGATAATGTTATTTAATCTTGCTTTGAATTGAAATGCTAGTCCATCAGTTAATGAGTATATTTGTTTATAATGATTGCGCTAATGAAGGTGTTTCCAAGGTTCTTCATTTTACCTTTTTTAAACAATCTAATTTTTTGCGTTATTTCAGGGTTCTTGGTTTGGGCAAGACACTAAAGTCTGTCACTTAAGCACCCCACTTTTTCTTTTCCTTTGTTTGTTTGTATGCTTAATTTTTTTGTGTTTATATTTTTCTTGTCAATCACGCTCCGTGTTTCATTTTCCTTCACCCCATGGCTAAACCAAACCAGAGATGAAATGTTGAGCGGAGTCAGATATAGTTGAAACCTCACTGCCTACATTGTCATTCTTCTACCCATGTTTTCGAAACAATTCGTATCATAATCAAAAAACTTGTTTTATCTCAAATAATTAGGACAAATCTCGTCTCGGTATGTCTCGTTTCAAATCTGTCTGTCTCATCCCGGTTCATAATTTACCGGAACACAAGTTTTAAAGTCTGGGACATAAGTCTTGTCTCGGTTCATACATTTATTCTGGGACAAATTTTACCCTTTGTCCCATTATTTTTTTCCAGAATTTTCTCGTCTCATTTTGTCTGTCCCGGTTCATTTCGAGAAAATTATTTTGAGACGCAGGAGTCTATATATATGCTAATTAGTTTCTTTGAGATAATGTCAGCAGTTACGTATGCTTATATACTGGTATATAGGTATCATAACATAGCTAAAGATAGAAATTTATGACAGTTTCACTTTCCCTAGTAAACATATGATTATTTATTTATACACAACTTCATAATATTTTAAAATATTTTTACCAATGATCATTGCTTTACACTCTAGCAGTTACACTCAAATTTATTTTATCTATGAATGTTATTAAGCACACTACTGCCCCCAATTACTTTAGCACACTACTGCCCCTAATTATCAACGTCACTCTTGACCCAATTTCATGTTTACTCAGAGCATTATTTCTAACTTCTGTTTTGCAGGATAACAAAGTTTGTGTGTGGAGGTGTGCCAGTGAAGGAGACCCTCAGTTACTACAAGAGATTTCTCATGCTGGAGATGTTTCTGACATAACTGTGAGTTGTTTTCTTCAATGCTTTTAGAAATATGGGTCAATACTTGAATATTGAAACTTTTATTAAAGTTCCGGAACTAATTGCATGATTTGTAGTCATGAAATACAGTGATAAATATTGTACCAGAAAACCTAAACATGGCACAAAAAAATGTTCAACACATGAAGCATTTCTTGCATTGTATTGTGTTAAGCTCAAACAGAAAATTTTCATAACTGTTTTGTATCTTACTAGAAAATATCATTTAATTTAATTTAGAAGATCTATTGTTTTTGGATGAGGTTAGTGTCTTAGAAATAGAAAGGCAGAGAATATCAAAAAGATGTACCTATATTGGTTCCAAGTAATGAAGAAAAGTTCCAGTTTCCTTTGAACTATTTATAAATTTATGGGGTCTCTCAATGTAAAGGTTGGTTTTCTTAGATTACCATTAGTAATTTTTGGATTCAATGTAGGTTATTTTTATATTCCAGTATATATCAAGAGACACAGCAGCTGTGGCCAGCAGCAATGGCAGTGTGTCTCTCTACAAACATGCGGATGACACCAACAAAAATCTTTCTCTGAGCCAGTGCTTCAAACATGCCCATCATTTCCAGTCTGGTAACGTAATCTAATTGTTATTCAATTGGTGATCATGAAAAACGCACTTGTAATGTGAATTTAATAATGATGCATGTTTGGTTACTTAAATTTATTCACTTTAATTTGCTTAATTTTTTTTACCACTATCAAAGAATATTTTGTTTGAAATGAAATTTTTGTCGTGTTTTTTTATTAATAATAAAATATAATATCAATTGCATGCAACTAGGTAAACAATTTAGATTTATCTATTCCAACAAAAAATGAAAATATTCTGGAAAATATGTCTCAAGAATTGTTAGGCAATTCTCATTTTGGGCTTTAGTTCCCAAAAGTAAAATATTCACACGAGTTCATGTACCGCTTGCAAGTATATATTAAAGGCCTAACACAACTTATCATAGCTTTGCTGTTCAGGCTCTCAGGCCCCGTGCACCAGCGTTGCCAGTGATGGCTGCCTCATAGCCACTGTGGGTGAGGATGCAAGACTCCTGCTGCTTAGTCCTGGCCAGCATGAGCCCCACAGAATTATAGGTGAAGATCTTGCTCATTATATTATCTTCATGCGATGATTTGCTTAAAACAGCAGTAAGGGTAGGGTTGTCCATCATGGGATGATTACTCTAAACAACTTCTTGCTTGGTAATAAAATGTCTCATTTTATGTTTTTTCATTGAATGTGAATTTTTTTTCATTTACAGTAATCTTTGAAAACTTTAATTTTGTATTGTTATTTATTGCCTCAAAACAATCGTCTTTGACTTTGTAGTTATCAAAGGAAAAAGTTATTTATTTTTGGTTGCTCATTTATCGTCCCTTATTGAACGATTTGAGTGAAGCAATCTAGTTTGTTGCAGACAGCGGTAGCGACAGCAGCGAGTACGCCGTGACGTTCATTAAGACCAATGAGGTGCTCACTGGAAGCCTTCAAGGCCATCTCAGGCTCTGGGACATACGCAAGGCTGGCAACATCCCTACTGTTACCATGATAACGACTGATCAGGTGAAGACGTGTTGGGATGTGATAACAACTGATCAGGTGAAGGCATGTTGGGATATGATAACAGCTGATCAGGTGAAGACATGTTGGGATATGATAACAGCTGATCAGGTGAAGACATGTTGGGAACATAATGACAAATGATCAGGTGAAGACATGTTGGGATGTGATAACAGCTGATCAGGTGAAGGCATGTTGGGAACATAATGACAAATGATCAGGTGAAGACGTGTTGGGATGTGATAACAGCTGATCAGGTGAAGGCATGTTGGGAACAAGATATTTGATCAAATCATGGCTTGCTGGAGTACGATGAGAGCTGACCATGTCAAGACATGTTTCAAGTAGAGGCAGCTCGAGCAATAATCTGATGATTGGCTGTAATTTATTTGTTTGTCTACTATTGCTCCTCTACAGCTGCTGACACATTAAGTGTTGATATAAGCTACAACGTTATTAGACTTAATGTTGCCGATGTGTTGCAGGAATGGATCCGGGACGTAAGCTGTCACCCTAGCCAGCAGCACGTGGTAGCAGCCGCAGGGGAGGCGGGCGCACTCACCCTATGGGACATGCGAAACACAACGCAGCCTTTCACGTCCATCTCCGCTCACTCTGCACCTGGTGAGACTTGATGTGTCTAGTCACCTGGTGAAACTTGATGTGTCTAGTCACCTGGTGAGACTTGATGTGTCTAGTCACCTGGTGAGTTATATATTTTAGGATTTACTCTACTTTTCATTATAGCCTGATTTTTTTATTGTACCGTAGCTAAAATGGAAAATTACTTGTTACAGGAGGGCTTTTGATTACCGTTCTTATATTTTCTGCAGTGCTAGAGGCGCGCTTCCACCGCAACTCTCCCGACCACATCTTCACATGCGGCCTCGATGGTCAGCTCGTGCACTGGGACGTGTCGTACCACTCAGCTCGATCATTATTAGGTTGGTTTGCCTTCATCTTTCTTCTACAGTATTTGAAAAAAGAGGCTTATCAAGTATACGACTGTACCCCATAAAAGCTCAATTCAATGTTGTTAATGCTAGTAGGAGCAGTGTATTTTGTGAACCATTAACCAAACTGTTATATCAATTGAGATTATTTGAGATAAAGCACAAACGTTTCAAAATAAAATTTCAATACAGGTTTATAACGTTTTCACTGCTTTAGTACAGCAAATTGATATCGATTTGTTGTATAATTTTATTTAAAACTGTAACATAGTTATATTGTACATTAGTTGCATCATTGTACATTTGTTGTGTACACGTAACAGAAGGAACTGGGGGCGGGGGCTTGGTGACGTCATGGCTGCACCCCAGCGTGGCGCGTGGTGACGTGACGACGACGGCGCTCATCAACGCGGGGCCGCTGCCGCTCAACAGCGTCGACGTGCAGGGCGACGTGGCTGTCGCAGCCTCGGACAACGAGGCACTTTTCGTGCTCAGAAATCTCGTCATGTGCTGAGGCTGTACACGCAGAATGTGCTGCCGTCATACAAGCAATTCTGATAGTCTGATCCCTCACTGCGAGGGATCAGAAAGATAGTGATCCCACTCACTGGTCGCAGTGCGTCTGACACTGCGACCTGAAGCATCAGCGTTTCTTGGTTAAATTTTTACTTTCATTATCCGAGTTTCAGTGAACCTCTGAAGTCGACAATCGCAGCAAGAGAGTTGTTTTTTTAAATTTATTACTCAACAGCAAAATGCGAGACATTAACATTTAGATGTCCAAAAGACATCGATGTATGTATGTAGGGAGAATGACGGAGGAGATTTTATTGGCTGAATAATTTTAATAAACTGCAAGGCAATTACAGATATCTACATAGTCAATAACAAGTCTAGTGGCTACCGTGAGCCCATAAACTCAATCCGATTAATTTAGTTAAAGCATCTTCGTAAGTGATTACCATACAATGGTATATACATACATGACTTTACATAGATTGACTCGGAATTGAAACCTGCTCAAGTGAAAATCAAATACTCGACTCGACTATGTGCACGTATTCAAAATTGTGACTCGATGCATAGGACGCCATCATAACAGTTCATCCGTGATAGAAGTCAAGAATTTCAAAACTATAGTACAAAGCCTAATCGTTGTACCTCAAAAGCAGTGTCTAGCATAGCAATGTTTGGAAATAGATGTCACCGTTTCTAGTTATAATTAATAATAACGTGTAGGATAGTGATGCTTCACGTTGAACCACTATAAGCTTCAATGAGCGCCTAGTTCAATTATTATTGATTACACGTAATGCTGTTGCTACATAGATATTGTTTTTACGGTAAATAAATTAGGTATCAAATCAAAGTGATATAGTTCAGACGTCTTTAGTTGCCTGAGAGAACATCTTGAACATGATTTCACTTTATTATCGTTATCTACAAAATAGCAGGTCAGCCTATGGAGCATAGATTAACAGCTAGAACCGAGTAGCCTGAGTCTGAGGGGTTAAATCAAATGATTATTCAAGACAGTTTAACATAGTTTCTAAACATTGCAAGCTAATGCGGCGATGTTGACATTCTCGCAGATTTAACAATCCTTTGCACGCGAAAGTAAAAAATAAACAAGAACTACATGGGCTCAGGTGCTGAGAGTATCGAGCTGCCTGACGATCACCTCGCGCTCCTTGATGGCTTTCCACGCGGCTTCTTTATCACGCTTCGACGGAGGTTTCTTTTTCACGCGCATAGACGCCAAGTTTTTATGAGCTTCAATAACCTGTGAGCAAAAAAATTTCACGGACCTGATAAGCGTAGCTGTACTAACTGCACCTTTCCCTATTCTCAAATTTAATAATTTCTATGAAATACTTGTACAGCATATACAATTTAGCGCACTAGGACAACTTATTTAGCTATAGTACACATATTTGAAGCTATTCAAGCATATGTTACCTTGGCCTCGGCATCGCGAAGCTTTTTCTTGAGGTCGTGCCGGTAGAGCGCATCGCGCGCCAGCTTCAGCAGGCGGTTGAGCTGCGTGCGGTTGTGTGCAGACACCGCGCGCAGCTCTGACTGACACCGCTTCAGCTCCTGCAGGATTTCGTCATCCTCGTCCTGAAGGATACATGAGCAGCACTAACTATATATGTGGAAATATTATCCAATATATTTGTTTAAATCATACAATACTAACGAAGCATCAAGCAAGACTCTTGTCCAAAAAAATATATACCAAGATTCATTATTTTCATAGTGAAGTAGGATAATCCACTTTAGGAGGGATGTGAAATTTTGTGATCATGCAATGTTGCTCACGTATAGTTATTCGAAATCATTAATAACCGTTACATTAAATGCCTTCAATAATCCTGCAAGCAAGCTTAATCTCTTTAAATAAAGTACAGAAATCATTTTATAACCACACTTCTCAATTTTTTGAAGTTTAAGGAACACGAAAGTTTTCCCAACACATAGTTTTTTATGGATATCTCGCTGCCTCACTATGAGCGTTACATATACAGGCAAAAATTACTTGAAAAATAAATCATTGAACTATTTAACTGCATAAGTACATGGTATAAGCGTTCATGAGTCAAACTCACTCAGTTCTTTTATTCAAAACAACTGTGTCTGGCTCTTCTTGCATTGTTTATAAATGAACGTTTGACCGAAAGAGCTAAGTAATAAATATTTCCCAGATGTGTGAAACAATGTATACAAAACTTCAAAGGATTGAAGCTGACAGTGACACTTAACCATTTGCTTTCCCATGTGAAGCATATGGCAATCAAGACCAAATAACAGCCAGCGTCTTGAGTACCTGGTTGATGTGATCAGCATCCATGATGCCGTGTTCTTGAAGTTCTTTACGTAGGCGTTTTTCCAGGCCTGCTCCGTTGCCCAGACCAAGGCTGCGCAGGAATCCAGGTCTCCCCACGCCAAGACCAACTACACAAATTATTATTAATATTTATTTCTAACTTTATAAGCAATAAATTACACTCCTGCACTGCACATATACATCACCCGAAATAGCAGCTACACAAAAAGTAATGAGCAACAAAAACGTTTCTAGTTCAGTGAAATTAAAAATTCGTAATCATTGGTGTTAGCAAATGTATGCATATCCTACTTAAATGTACTGTACCTAGGAACGGGGGCATTATACTTCGTTTCATCTGTCTCATTAACACGGCTGTACTTTGAGTTATAACTCTACCTTTGGATTTTAACTTTACTTTTGCATCATAACCTCACCTTTGTATTATAACTCTATCTTTGGATAATAGCTCTACCTTTTTATTATAACTCTATGTTTGATTATAACTCTATCTTTGTATTATAACTTTACCTTTGGATTATAATTCTAACTCTGTATTATAACTCTGCCATGGCATTATAACTCTACCTTTATTCTCGGAGTTTTCACACGGTCCACGTTCATCCACAAGCCCCGCCAGGAGACGCTGTGCAATAGGCCCCAGGGTGGCTGCGTCGTCTGCACTGCTGCTGTGGTTCAGGTCCACCTCGCGAAGCAGCTTGTCCGGCACATCTGAATTCCAACAACTAACATCAATTCTCGATGGCTAATCAAAATTACAAAGTAATATTACAGTTAGTACAGTTATTTTTAGTCACATTTAACTACTGGGTGACACATTTTCTGCTGCTCACATTAAACTTCATCATTCCGTAGAAGTTAAAACCATCGCTTCCAGGCTTAATTTAGCTTTGTGATGTCAAGCTTGGTTATTGATTTCACATAATTTTTCATAATTTTTCATAAGTGCTTCAAACATTGGAGTTTACACCACCATCAACATAAGAGTATATAGAGAAACTTTCAGCACAAAAACAGGCACAATTCTGAAACCTTGCAACGGTTTACTGTGTGTTGTGGGGCATATTAAGAAACGTAAAAATAAGACACACTTTTCAAACAAAATCACATTCTCCAAAATTTTTCTATACAAATATTTTTTGAAGTGAGACTAGCGCGTTAAGGTACTATGAACCTACCTCCATTAGAGCTGCTCTTCTTCTTGCTGCTGCTGTTTTCGTTTAGCTTGCTGCTGCTCTCCTTCTGCTCGTCCTGATAAAATATTGTTCAAATCAATTAAAATAAAAAACACAAAATTACTAGAAATGCAGCATAATATGTGGAACCCAACATATGATGTGTAAGTGATTATTCACAAACAAATCAAGAAGAACAACAATTGATTAAGTATAAACAAAAAAGCGCTCGGAAATTTTCTGCTCTACAAATTTAAATTTAATGTATATCACGTCATGAAAAAAAAACGAAAAATAGTAAGCTGCATTTCACAGGAAATGGTTTTTGACGAATGATAAATTTAGGATTATAGATTCGAACAAAATTAATAGTTTCTTATTGGATTTTAAAAATTTAAATAAAAAAAACCTTGAATTAGGTGAAAAGTGCTGCGAGTCATAAATCTTAGTATTATGACATTTTGCGTACAGAATTGACTTAATATGGACGCCTTATAGGTAGTACAAATGAAAATTGATTACGTTTTGAACATTTAAATAGATGAGGAGATAAATAAGGTATAAATTGAAAAAACGAAAATGCTTACATAAAGAATTCAAGGTTAAAATCATGCAGATGACATTAAATAGGACTGACATTATTGAAAAGATTATATTTGGCAAGTCTCCTGCTATTTACGTCTTATGAAATATTTTCAGTGAAGTTGTTTACATTCAAATTTAATTTATGTAATTACCACGAGGTCCTCCTGAGCCCAGCGCAGAGTGTAGTGCTTGCCCAGGGCCTGTATCTTGTATACGTCGGGGTCGTCGTTGTGAGCCGCGATCAGGTCCTCCAGAGCCTGCAACAAGACACTCGGTGAGAATATACACTAAACTTCACAGCGGATTATGATGTAGTTAATGGAAACTATGCAACGATGAAGAAATAATCTGAATCTGATTTAGATTATTTATACGTTTTTTTAACACATAGGAGTTTCATATGAGACACATATAAAACTCTCAAATATGCTTCCCATCCCCCAAGCACCTCACTATAATATTAAAACCTCCAATTTTCCCCCAAGTACATCAGCTTTTCTTCCGAATTCCACAACGAGCTAAAAATCGGGTCACGAGGATTTTTGTTACGTGAAATGACCGGTTGCTGCTTTGAAGTTTAAACAATTAGAATGTCGACGGTGAACGAGTATTTTGCAATTGCACATACCAAGATAAAATAAGCTAGTGAAAAAGACTACTTTAACGTCAGTTCGCAATTTACAGACATATACATACGTACCTTAATGTCATCAGCTGTCAGCTCCTGACAATAGGTGTCGACCATGGCCCAGAACCTGTTGGTGATGTCGTTGCGGGAAGGAGGAGGTCGGGGCACCTCGGCAGCTGGCAGGTCGGGGACATCAAACAACGGCTCGTTGCGCACTATAGAGCACTTCACCTGCACCATAAGGAACGCTATTAACTAAATGCTTTTTTTAAGGATTACGTACTTCATCATCACCTAATTTCCAAACATTACTTCTAAGGATTTCACAACAATTCACAGTCTTCGCCGAGGCCGGGTCTGCAAGTGCAAATATTTTTCATACAGTTGAAATTATAGTTCAGTATTGAGAAAAATTCTGAGAAACAAGCAGCTTACCTTGGGTACTTTACTGGGGGGCGGTGGGGGCGTGGCATGTGCTACAGGGGCCGGTGCGAGCCCCGGCGTCGAGTCTCGCGCCTTGCTGGCCTCCCTGGCCTTCTTGCTGGGCCTCTGCAGTGTGTCGCCGTCGGTGCGCACCCGCTTGCCGGGCGATACTTGCTGTAGCAGTACACAAGAACTCACGATTAAACTCGTATTCAAAGTAGAGAATAACTGCACGTTAATAAAATTAAGCTGAAATAGTGACCATGGCCTTTGCCTTAGTAATTTATTGACAGAATCAAAAAGTTTTATGAATCTATGTTGTAAGGAAAACATGGAAAAGGCAATTTTTAAATCAATTAAAATATGAAAGAACGGCAATTGCATAAAAAATTATATTTTCATGAACTAAAAAAATCAGCAATAGCATTGCCCTCTGACAATATATTGAAGATGATACTGAATATATTGAAGAAGATACTGAATATATTGAAGAAGATACTGAATATATTGAAGAAAGTACTGAATATATTGAAGATGATACTGAATATATTGAAGAAAATACTGAATATATTGAAGATGATACTGAATATATTGAAGATGATACTGAATATATTGAAGAAAGTACTGAATATATTGAAGATGATACTGAATATATTGAAGATGATACTGAATATATTGAAGAAGATATTGAATCAACTCACTGGTCTGGGAACAATCTTGCCCTTCTCCATCTGCTCAATGATGGTGACCTGTTCCGTGAGGGCGCTCTGACGCACCAGCATTGAAGAGGCCAGAAGCTCCAATTCGAGTTGGAGATTATCCAGCTCCTCCATGGAGATTGTCTCTCCAGAGCACACTAAAGGAACACCAGAGTGAGCAGACTCTAGCACTGCATGGTTCAAATACGAGGGCAAAAGAATTCCGGATACAAACAAAACCATGCCATGCAACTCTCAGTCGGCAAATGTTACACGCAAACAAACGTTCCCAGGATGACACGCAACAACCACAGGCAGCAAGATAAATATTTCTTCCAAAATCATCAAAGTAGAATTTTATCATTACAAATTTACTTTCAAACATTATAGAAAAATTTGTTTTCCAACAGGAAAACATTACAGAAACTATCAAAGCCAGGAAAAGTTTTCTGGTAGAAATGCATTATTTTGGTAGGTAAAATATTACATTATTAAAAGATAAGTAGCCACACATGACGGACAGAACAGCAACATAGCCCATTGTTTCAAAATACAAGCACACGATCAACATAAATTAAGCCAACACCCCAAGTTCTTTCAGAATTTTGGCAGCCCATTTAGTACATTTGAATTTTGTAAATACATTTAAAATTAAATATAAAAAATGATTGCAGAACAATAAGGATTTTTATAAAACAAAATATATTCATGAGAATAATGATAAAGAGATAGAAAAGATATTGATGCAAGGGATCCATTGTTGCTGACATGTGAAATATGTTATAACCAAGTACTGAGCAGTATATTAAAAATGTGATTATAAATAACTCAATTCAAATAAAGTGGGATAACATTTTTGCAAATAAAATGTCACATCGGCTGAGCCAAGAAATAATTAAACAAATTTGAATTCAAAATTGTGCATAAAGCGGAGTAACAATGGCCATGTTAAGGAAGAAATGAATAATAAAATGTGAAATAGCTTGGATAATTAAATAAGTTTTAAATAAAACATCATTAAAACAGTGATGTAGCAATTAGATGCAGGATTGATTGACCAAAACAGGACTAATAAGAACGTGTTATACAAGAATGGACAACGAGAGAATTGACATGACATTGAGTTGTCATGTTCATGAGTTGATTAACTAATTCAAAAATCAATATTCCAATGTTGAGAAGAAACAACTTGAGAACACGTGACACATCAACCATATAAAACAAGCGGCAATGCAGCTCAAGTAAGACAGGGGTTCCAAACGCAACATGGAAGCCATGATATGACATGAGGGATGACGGAATGACGTCACGGGATGAGGGCAGCATGCCATTTGGGGTGTGATGACGTCACGGGATGAGGGCAGCATGCCATTTGGGGTGTGATGACGTCACGGGATGAGGGCAGGATGGCATGTGGGTGTCCAGGATGCAACACATGGAGCAGAGGCATCATGAGGAGCACATGATACCAGCAAGGCCGCATAGGGACGGACGCAGCAACGACAGCAGAGAAAGTCAAATTATAATATGTTTGAACGAATGCTATTATAATGATATTAATCCAAGAATGATTCTATTGAAGCTTTCACAGTGCATTAATAATCAAATACCTGAACATAGCTCAACCACAATTATTAAGATGCTAAAAAGTATTTACACTTAATTATAATACACAGGATCATGGTATCAGAAATAGGAGTATATAGGGATTTTATGTCATATGTACAAAAAATTTTGCAGATTCTTGAGAATTTGAAGACCATACAGGCAGGGTAGAATTCCACAGTTACACATAATGTTAACCTTTTCAAGTTGAACTCACAAAGAAGCAGTTCCGGTAGAATTATTTCTGAATATGAAACCCACCACTCTATTTATAATTTCACCAAGCAGTACAGTGATCAAATTTGAACTTGCCACACATATAATGAATGAAATTGAATTAATTAAGAACCATCCCAGTCACTTTGAAGCACTAGACATTATGAAAAATGTGCATGATATTTCAATATTCTTTGGTCTTCTCACGCATCAATAAATACAAGTATTGAATGGAGAGAGTGACCCAGCATGCAAATTCATGGACTAAGTATTTCTAAATAGCGCAAGCTACATCAAATTTATACAGAAAGTTTCACAGAACAGCAAGACAATTTACAAAGCAATGGTAGCAGTATAGATAAAAAGCATTTGCAAGACAAAGTTTACAGCTTGAATTGATAACAGAAAAGATAGTGTGAGTGAATGCTAATTAACTTAGGTAGTAAGACATGTCTGACCAAGAGAGAAAAATATAACTGGTGGTGGAACTGAATACCCTGAACCAATGCTATGCTTGGAAGTAAAATGTGGGTGCAACTTGAATTACACAATAAACAAATGATGACAATAAATACATATTATCATTTCTACTTCATCATTACAAAGTAGAAAAGTTAATAGGAGAATATGATTCAGTTAAAGAGTATATATTGAGGATGACATGCAGTGCAATGTGGTCAGTAGGATTTTCAAAGGCCTTATCAATATGGGATAATTTACAGAAAATTCCAGCTTCATTGAATGATTCACCATACCAATTCCATAGCAAACCTGCATTATTAAATGAAAAGTGTAACAAACTTTGAAGTAAGTCAGGCTAAAGAGTCGGGCAGGAGTAATCAAGTTGATAAAGTGAAATTACCTTAGAGGGAAAATTATTTAGGTTAACACAACATCTTGTAGGTACATATTGAAGTTGAACTCACCAGTGACATCATCAAAAAACCAAAGTTTCTGTAGGTGAAATCTTAAAAAGAAAATAAATTGAAAAATTTAACTCAACTGCACTCCAGGGCGGGATTTTTTCGTATGGTCATCACATGTTTCATCCTTTAAAGTCATGACTTTCATCACAAATCCAAGAAATATGAAGAACTATAAAATTTTTCAAACATCTTTGCCAGCGAGAGTGGAAATTTTCAGGGTTTGATGAAGAAATTGAAAAAGGAAGTAACATACAATAACAGATCACAGCTTATGATCTCACAGACAGAGAAAAGCACTCAACAGTGAAACACACTTTGACTCTTGACAACATTACAGTAAACCCATAGCAAGGGAACAAAGAAACAGCAAAGTTGCAATAGATGACAGGAATAACAAGAATAATAATTATTTATTTCCAAGCTGCAAGCTCCAATTATTGGTAAATAAAATTAGCATCATTAAGGAAAGGTGGCTTCAAGCTTTCCTCCTTCATAGACTAGGTTTGAAGTACATGATAAATTTGTTAAGTCAAATATGATGCTTGCTGATGTTCAGCCACTGATGACAGTTGATTTATGTACAAATAATAATTTTAATAACACTTTTGGACCAACAGCAACAATTTTCAGGTGTTCTGTTCCATTCCTTTTTTGCATGATCACTTAAACTTAAAAGCTTTATTACATGATTTTTGTATGAAATTCAGGTACTAGTAGTGGTTCAAATCATTACTATTGGGGCTGCAAGTAATCATGTAATGACTATAAGGGCTAAGAGCAATGAAATAATGACAATTGCGGCTGAGAGCAAGAATATATAAGCATAAAAAATACTCAAAAATAAAAAAAAAATAAAAAAATACTGCAATTACCAGCAACATTATTAACATAATAAATAAGAACTTAAAAAATGACCAACTACTTTGATGGCCTCATTGAGAATGAAGAGCAAAGAAGAAAGCTCACAGTTTGTGTAGCGAGGCAAAAATTTGATGTGATCCACAGCAGCCATGATGGGAAGTGTCAGCGCACAATCCTTCAGATCTACGCAGGAAGAACTGTTGCTGCCACTATCTTCTTTCTTATTGTTACTGCTAGAACTGCCACTGCCTCCTGTAAAAATTGCATATAAATGAGAAAGTTTCTCACTACAAAATTTCTTGTTGGGAGAAATCCTAAAATAATGAAGACAAATTACACAGAATAGCAAAATATTGGCATATGTAACCAAGTAAAACATTATCCCTTAAAATGAAGACAAATTTTGTAGATCAAGTTAAAATAATGGTAGGAAAAAATGAATAGGTAGCAGGTTACATATCAATGCTTTTTATAATTAAAGAAAATGTTCTTCATAAATAAATAAACCTAAAGAATATTATTATAAAAATGCATCAATAAAAAAATATAAGCAAGCAGATATAAATTTTCACCAGAATTTTATAATGTAAAAAGAACATAACAAATCAACATAATTTTAGCACATTGGAGAGTGAAACTGCCGATGACAATTAAGTTGTGCAAAAATTTTTATCACAACTTTATCAATGACACTGTAAAAATTCATGACCAAGATGACTCACCAGCACCACTTCCATTGTGAGATCCATTACCAGATGAAAGCCTACTTGAGTCATGTTCCTTCTTGCGCATTATCTTCCCAGACGACTTGTGAACCTTGCCCTTGCTGGGTGTGGGAGCCATGATTTCAGATAATTTCTCAATAAAAAATGTAAGGGGCTACAGAAAGTGGCTTTCAAACATCCATATTTTGAACGAAGAAAAAAAAATGCTTTGCTGCATCATAAAATTAATTAAATAAGTGATTCACAACAAACATACCGGTACCACAAATAAAACTGAAAGAACAATCAAGTACAATGAGAGATTCAGAATAGGAAAAAATGCTTTTTAATCTCTTAACAATATAAAAATTCTGAAGAATTGCATGCAGTATAAATGCCATATGGCTACAATATTGAGGTCCATATGCCGAGTTAATCAATTAACTTGCTAATATCAGTTTCTTAGGCTCATATCACTACTATTATGGAATATTTGTTGCAAGAACTACCTAAGCCTTCAAGATTTCTTGCCAAAAATGCATTTAAGGAGGTACTCAAGGAGAAATGTTGTTGAAAGATGCTCTAATAACATATAGTATTTTAATGCTGATGACGTGATGCATCATATGGCCATGCATAGAATATATCTACTTTCCAAGCCATGACCAGAGCTTTCCTGCTATTTTGAAGCCACAAGATTCTTGCTAGATTAATTATCTCCAAACAAATTGTTAACAAAAATACACAATCAAGCCACAAAATTCTAAAGCTATTGAAACATTGTTAGTTTGGAGCTGCAAGATTTCAGTATCAAGTCGGAAATTTCCAAATCCTGGAAACACCAAAGAACAATAGAATTAGCTATCAGTTCATACTCTGCACCCTGAAATTTAAGGTCAACAATTTTACTGCTTAACACAGAGGTGAAAAATGGTTTAAAAAATTAATTCACTTCTAATTCCCTCATAAAGTTCTGAATTTTTGTCAAGATAATGCTGGCATCCAGGCAAAGAATATCTCGAAACATCTAAGCCATGACTATAGCTTTCCTACAATTTTAGGATTAGGAGCCATGAGATTCCTGCTAGATGGATAACTTCCTGAGAAACTTTTAACAAAAATGAACTAGTATAAGAGCAGCAAGGTTCATAATTAATACAAAAAGCATTCCTTTGGAGCCACAAACTTTTGGTAATAGGAAGGAAAATTTCACTCTTACAGGTATCAATGATACTTAAATGGCCTACTCATATGACTCAAAAGGGATGAGTCTAAAAAAAAGTCTGCTTTACTAATGCCAAATTGCCAATTGCCACTATGCTGCTCCCAGATTGCAAACTAATGCAAAGTATGGCAAAACATATGTCAAGGACACCATCACACCAAACTGCATCCCAAAGATGCTGAGGTTTGTTCAAGGCGGACAGCAGTTACCAATTATCCGGAAAGCAGAGTTCAGTGAATGCATTGCTAATTTTTGCATTTGTAGACCAAAAGCAAAGCCAGCAGTAGGTACCGTAAAATGGGGTAACTTAGACCGGTGGGGTAACTTAGACCACTTTTCATTTTTTTAACAAAAACCCCCCACAACTCAAAAACTATTTGACATAGAAAAATTTTGTCAATAGGCATTAAAGACCTAATACTGAGGCTACATAACACAATAGAAAGATTTGAAAAGTTTGCATATCTAATGGGTTAAAAAATTAAAAATGTGACCCATGAAAAAAAGCTATTATTTAAAGCCTGTCAGAGTACCCCCTCCAATTTTTTTATTTTTTGGTTAAATAACTCCAGGTTTTGATGCATTGTAGAAAAGACTATGAGAGGCAGGAGCCAGCAATTTATGGTGAGTGAAGCTAGAGTATAGACCTGTATTTTGCATGTTTCAATTCAAGTTTAATTTAGCTAGTAAAAAATGGCATCATTTATAAAAAAAGTGGTCTAAGTTACCCCATTTTACGGTACCCCAAGATGCGTTGCTGCGTTGCCAACAGTCTTTGTGATGCCTTGCAAACATAATTTTCATCAAAATTCTTGCAAAAACCAACTTTGATGAGTGTATCTTCAACACCCCAGGTATTGCAGTAGACAATTTCCATTTGCATCACAACAGAAATTACCATATTGTAAATTGTGCTTTGCAGCCTCATCTGACCCACTAGAAACCAAAAATTTTAAAATACAATGCAGTCACTGGTGGGTAAAACTTCAGATTAAGTGCATCCAAAAAAAAGGGTGTTTTTTTATTATATGTTTATTGGGGTATAGATTAAAAATCTGAAATCCGTTTTTGTCGGTCAGCATCGGAAAACTGATTTTTTTATATTTGTTCTATAGAAAACAACAATGGGAGACCCATGGGAAACCGGGGGTTTTAGGATGGGGGACACGCCGTGGCTCTAATTCGTCAAAAAAAAAAAATCAGGCAAAAATCGGCGAAAATTGGAAAGTTTTGTTAACCTAAGCTAACCTAATGCGATTTTTCAGTTTCACATAGGTTTACAGTCATTCCCAGATCAATATAGATCATTTCCAGTCAAAAAAATTTTCCGATATTTTCCATATTTTTGCCTGATTTTTTGACAAATTAGAGCCTCGGGCGTGTCCTCCCCCCCTAAAACCCTTAGTTGCCCCCATTGTCGTTTTCTATAGAAAATATATGAAAAATAGAAAAAAATTGGTTTTCCCATGCTGACCACCAAAAACGGATTTCAGATTCTTAATCTACATCCCAAAAAACATATAATTAAAAAAACACTCTTTTTTTGGATGCACTTAATCTAAAGTAATACCCACTGGTGTACCTCCAAGCTCTCCAGCTCCATGGTTAGCATTGCCTAAGACTCAAAATCAAGAATACATAAAATACAATAATTTTAATCCAAATTTGTTGGCAAGATCTTCTGAAGGCATATATATTGCCACTGATGCGTCACCAAGGTCTTCAGATATTCACGAAGACCAACTTTCTTTACCCTGGCCAATTATGCTTTAATCTTTACCCCCAACTTTCTATGCCCTGGCCAATTAACTATTTTGCGGGTAAGTTACCATATATGGTAATTAAAATAGGAGTAAAAAAAGGCCCCCCACATCACCCACATGGCTTGGGGCAGCCTGCTAACAAGCTCCAACCAATCACAGATCGTGTATGAGTTACATTATGTATGACGTAGTGCTCTGACGCGCTCTTACGTCTGTGTGAGCTGAATTAAAAACTAAGTACACTGGAAAAATGGCAAAATGGCATTTCGGACCCTCATCATATTCATCATCACATTCTAACCCATGAAGAACTGTAGGTAAGCCTGTAAGGCCATGATAGTTGCTAGCATCATAGTTAAAAACTTGCTTTATCAACTGATTATGATGCCATTTACTCAAAGCAAATGCAAGATAGTGAAATATGATTGCAAAAATTAGTGTGATCATATATGAGTATACGCCTGCCAATGCTTAGAGATGGAAGTGACTATCTTTGGTCATATGCCCACTAAAGGTAAATTTCTACAGCGCTTGGTAGATATGTTTGTTACTTGTTAGCATTTAGTGGTTAGCTGTATTATGATTTAAGCCTTGTTTTTCAGTCTAACGTACCTTTAGTTCACCACTTGATGCTTTCCCTGACTTTGACTGCAGTCCAAGCTCTTGGCATTCCCTTTGCTTTGCTACAGAACATAGAGCCAAAGCGGTTGCAGGCAAGATGGTCTTTGTATTGACCCAGACAATAACATGTCCTTCACCAATACTAATTCTTACTGACAATTTTTTCACAAGTTATAGGTAGCCTATATGTTGTAGGGTAAACGTGTTATATTCCAACATAGTGGGTAATTCCGACACCTCTCTGGTTTTTCCTTTATATTAAGCTTTGTCTTAGTTCCACGCATTTGCTGATGGTTGAAATAGTGACGTCATACCTTGGCACGCCAAACTATTGCCAAAACACTAGGTTTGGGCTGTCTGGTGGGAAAATGTTGAGATCCAAAGAGAGACAGTGCATGCAACCCAGTGAGATCATCAAAAAATGTGTCAAAGTTGATAGTTGACCTTGCTCTACCAAATAGTGATAAACTGTTTGGGTAGAAATAATATTATGGTTTGAGACTTTTAAATACGTCTGTGAATATATTAGGAATCCTTTAAGTATACTTGTATTTGCTAATTTCAAGTAGTAAATAAATTAATAGATGATTAAGTTAAGAAACGGATTTAGACACATAAAAACTAATTCCGACACAACTTGAATTGGACACACACAGCTCGTTCCAAGCTGTGTGCAAAAATTAAAATTTTCTTGATTAAAAGCTTAATAGCTCTTAATTAAAAGCCTAATTAGTGTTCAATATTCAATAGTGTTCTAATTCAAAGCCGTGTTGTATTCCAATACAGCTCACACTGTCACACAGTGATCACTCGATCAGAATTCAAACACAAGGATGTTGGAATTACGTATTAGTAGAGTTTGAAGCGCTCCCATGTCCCATGCCACACTCAGGATGATGTATGTTTTTGGTGAATTTTCCCGTGCATTTTCACTTTTTTTAAGCTATTGCTGTGCTCAGTTGGCACAATGTAATGAAAATTGATTAACTTCGCGCACGTGTTCGCGCAATCCCGGCCATCAATTCTACGTCGCGCTGCCGTGCACGAGCAGTATGTGGAGGAACAGACGTAATACTCACATTACTCAGTACAGTATGCCTTTAATTACCTTTCAATAATATATGCTTTTTCTTGATACGGAAATTTGGTGAATGAGAAATCTAGAACTTTATTTTAGAAGAAATTTTCTCCAAAGTCATATGGCAACACTGAACACCGTCTGTTTACATTTCGTATGTATAATAGCCGCAGTTTACGATTACCGTACGTTCCGTATCCGACAAGGCAGACAAGCGGAAGAGTCAGAAGTAACCCGGACATGTCTTACATTTTATTATTGTCAGTTCGACTCGCGTAGTCAATATACTCGCGTATATTGTCAACTAAAATAGTAGACTATTCTGACTAAAATAGTAGAACTATTTTAGCTTTCTAAAGTACGGCGCACGGCGCATTTTTTTACCAGCATAGTACGGCGCACCGCGCAGGTTGTTAAAATGACAAAATAAATTCCCGCGCATCTGGCACATCTTCCTGACTATGGGTCCCATGTGGCGGCCGGTGCCAGAATTCGTCTCACAACGAATTTAGTCACACACAGCGTCGGAATATAGGGATTTGGTAGGTGTGCATTCTAAAGGCTTTTAAATAAATATGGCAACACTTTGTGACATTTCATCATTGCTGGCGTGTAGTGCAGTGTTTTGAGTCATGTAAAGCAAACAGAACTCGAGTAATGCATACAATTATTTTTTATAGTTTTTCATTTCTCGATGCGTCCTTAATGTGATGGAATATACCGCGTTTACCCTATATGAATGTGACTCTTTACATACGGCATGGATGTCTCATTATATAGATGGTCTGGAAATATCTTGCCATAAAATACTAAATGTACCTATAATTTTTTTTCATCTTGATTGCTTCCTTTGTATGTGTTATAATACATGTATAAAAGAGCAATCAAGATGTTTTTTACCATCTAAACAGTAAACTTTCTATGTCAAAATCCACAAATTTTTCGTACCTTAAGTCGGCAAGGCCCCATATATGATCACTTCATTAATTGTGATTTTTAATTATATATGGAATTTTTTGAAAATGCTTACGAGTAGATATATCTTAGAATTGGTCGTACTTTTAAGTACAATCATCAAATATTGCAATTTCATCGTATTTCTATGTCCGCCCGGGAAAGGGTTAGGGTAAACGCGTATATTCCGTCACATTAAGGACGCATTGAGAAATGAAAAACTATAAAAAAATAACCGTATGCATTACTCAAGTTCTGTTTGCTTTATGTGACTCTCAAAACACCACACTATGTGTCAGTAACAACGAAACGTCACAAAATGTTGCCATATTTATTTAAAAGCCTTTAGAATGCAAACCTACCAAATCCCTATATTCCGTCACTGTGTGTGGCAATATTCGGCACGTGGTGAGGCGTATTCCGTCCGCGCTTCAAATTCTACTGATACGTAATGCCGTCATCCACGTGTTCGAATTCCATTTGCTGTGTGAGCTGTATTGGAATACAACATGGCTTTGAATTAGAACACTAATGAATATTGAACACTACTTAATTACGCTTTTAATTAACAACTATTAAGCTTTTAATTAAGCAAATTTTAATTTTTGTACACAGGTTGGAACGATCTGTGTGTGTCCAATTCAAGTTGTGACGGAATTAGTTTTCATGTGTCTAAATCCATTTCTCAACTTAATCATCTAGCTATTAATTTATTTACCACTTGAAATCAGCAAATACAAGTATACTTAAAGGATTCTTAATATATTCAAAGATGTATTTAAAAGTCTCAAACTCTCAAACCATAATATTCTTCCTATACAAATAGTTATTCACTATTTGGTAGAGCAAGGTCAACTGTCAAATTTGACACATTTTTCGATGATCTCACTGGGTAGCGTGCATTGTCTCTCTTTGGAGTTTGGATCTCAATATTTTTCTGCTAGATGGCCAAGACCCCACTATGCAGAGAGTGATAAATATTTGAAAGATATTCGGAGACGAATTAGCAGACAAATTTACTTCTTCGAAGATCTTGCCGACACCATTTACCAATCTTACCGAAGCTTCGGCGAGTCAGCCAACCTTCCAGAAGCTTTGGCGACGCTGCCAACGATGCTTTCTGTGAGGCAACGTTTTCTGCACAACCAGAACGGAAGAAAAACGAAAGAAAGAAATGCCAATGAGCTGCCTCAGCTCAGCCTGCAGGATGTGGCATCCAGCTGACCAACGTAGCGTACAGCTCCAAGTGATCGGTTAGTACTTTGGTGACTGTTAAAGGGGAAGCAACTTGCTTGCTGCTCTAATTCAACAAATTTAGCACCAAGAAATGAAGCTAGTTTGATAGGCTGTTTCACTCACATCATGGAAAGAACGAATAAACGGTCAATTCATCAGCTTGAAGTTGAAGGTAAGTAAATTTTATTCAGTAGTAAATAATTGTTAGCAAATATTTATTCTTATTTATTTTGATAAAAACTTGAACAAATTGGTCGCATTTTCGGTGCCGTCTTTATTAGGTGCTGCATAATATGCCATAATATGCCTGCTATATATATATACATATATATCTCTTAAACAAGTTTTGTTAAAGACCAGAGAATTAGTTTTATTACCACGTTTTTCTTAGCTCGCTTTCGTGTCTGTGATGATCAAATCTTGCAATCGATATTTCACCAACTTTCCCATTAGCTAGCGCTCTGAAACTTTTAGGGAAGCTCAGCTCCCGATAACAATACAATAATCAATAATTTGTTGCACGTTTCCAGGCGTATAAACTCTAAAGGAACTCACAAGC